CATACCCTTCTCCAAGGGATCTTCCTCACCCAAGGATCAAACCTGAGTAACGTCTATGTGTATTGGCAACAGAAGTAGCTGTTTTTCTGGAATTCTCTTGCTTTTTCTATGATCCAGTGAATGTTGGCAATTTGATCATTGGTTCCTCTGCCTTTTCTAAACTCAGCCAGTATGTCGGGAAGTTCTCAGTTCACATACTGCTGAAGCCTAGCTTGAAGGATTTTGAGCATTACCTTGCTAGCATGTGGGCTTACGTGGTAGCTCAGCTGGTAAAGAATCTGCCTGCAATGCAGAAGACTCTGATTTGATTCCTGGGTTGGGAAGATCCCTTCGAGAACAGATAGGCTAACCACTGCAGTATTCTTGGGCTTCCCTGATAGCTCAGATGGAAAAGAATCCACCAGTAACAAAGGAGACCTAGGTTGGATCCTTGGATTAAGAAGATCTCCTAGAGAAGGGAATGGTTACTACTCTATCATGTGGCCTGGAGAAGTTAACCAGAAATTTAGGTTAACGATCCTTTTATGCAACCAATCTAGAGAAGAGCATGGCTACCCATTTCAGTATTCTCTGGAGAATCCCATGGACAGAGGATACTGGCAGGCGACAGTGCACGGTGGTTGCAAAGAGTTGGACAACTGAGTGACTTTCACTTTGCTAGCATGAGAAATGAGCATAATTGTATGGTAGTTTGAACATTCTTTGGCATTGTGTTTCTTTGGGATTGGAAAGAAAACTGACTTTTACCAGTCCTGTGCCACTGCTGACCTTTCCAAATTTGATGACATGCTGAATGCAGCACTTTAACAGCATACTTACAGGATTTGAAATAGCTCAGTTGGAATTCCAGCATCTCCACTAGTTTTGTTCATAGTAATGTTTCCTAAGGACCTCTTGACTTCACATTCCAGGGCATGTGCATGAAATGTTCCCTTGGTATCATCAATTTTCTTGGAGAGCTCTAGCTTTCCTATTCTATTGTTTTCCTCTATTTCTTTGCATTGTTCACCTAAGAAGGCTTTCTTATCTCTCCTTACTATTCTCTAGAACTCTGCATTAAGTTGGGTATATCTTTCCCTTTCTTCTCTGCCTTTGTTTTCTCTTCTTTTCTGAGGGAAAATAGCACTGTCATTTGAGAGTGAATACTCTTTTTTCCATTGTTTCCCCATCTATCTGCCATGAAGTCATGGGACTGGATGCCATGATCTTACTTTTCTGAATGTTGAGTTTTAAGTCAACTTTTTCACTCTTTCACTTTCATCAAGAGGCTCTTTAGTTCTTTTTAGCTCCTAACAGAGTTTTGCCAAGAGAACGCACTGGTCATAGCAAACACTCTTGTCCAACAACATAAGACAAGACTCTACACATGGACATCACCAGATGGTCAATACTAAAATCAGACTGATTATATTCTTTGCAGCCAAAGATGGAAAAGTTCTACACAGTCAACAAAAATAAGACCAGGACTGACTGTGACTCAGATCATGAACTCCTATTGCCAAATTCAAACTTAAACTGAAAAAAGGAGGGAAAACCACTAGATGATTCAGGTATGACCTAAATCAAATCCCTTATGATTACACAGTGGAAGTGACAAATAGACTCAAGAGATTCGATCTGATAGACAGAGTCCTTGAAGAACTATGGACAGAGGTTCATGACACTATACAGGAGTGAGTGATCAAGACCATCTGCAAGAAAAAGAAATGCAAAAAGGCAAAATGGTTACCTGAGGAGGCCTTACAAATAGCTGTGAAAAGAAGAGAAGCAAAAAGCAAAGGAGAAAAGGAAAGATATTCCCATTTCAATGCAGAGTTCCAAAGAATAGCCAGAAGAGATAATAAGCCTTCCTCAGCGATCAATGCAAAGATCAAGTAAAGTATTTGGTAAAACCGAGAGATATACAAAGAGGAATAATAATCTCAGACAAAGAAACATGAGATATTGAAGAACACCTAATCCAGTAACAGACAACAGGGGTGTTAGAGTCATCATACTGCCTGACTCTACCATTCACAGCTACATCAACCTGGCTTATGTCTCATTACACAAAAACACCCCATATGGTGACTGCAGCCATGAAATTAAGACGCTTGCTCATTGGAAGAAAAGCTATGACCAACCTAGACAGCATATTAAAAAGCAGAGATATTATTTTGCCAGCAAATGTCCATCTAGGCAAAGCTATGGTTTTTCCATTAGTCATATGTGGATGTGAAAGTTGGACTATAAAGAAAGCTGAGCACCGAAGGATTGGTGCTTTTGAACTGTGGTATTGGAGAAGACTCCAAGAATCCCTTGGACAGCAAGCAGATCCAACCAGTCCATCCTAAAGGAAATGAGTACTGAATATTCATTAGAAGGACTTATGCTGAAGCTGAAACTCCAATATTTTGGCCACCTGAAGTGAAGAACTAGCTCACTTGAAAAGACCCTAATGCTGGGAAAGATCGAAGGCAGGAATAGAAGGGGATGACAGAGGATGAGATGGCCTCATCAAATCAATGGACATGAGTTTGAGTACGTTCCGGGAGTTGGCGATGAACAGGGAAGCCTGGTGTGCTGCTGTCCATGGGGTCATAAAGAGTCGGACAGGACTGAGTGACTGAACCAAACTTAACTTCATCTCTAAAGTCAGAAGAATCATATCAATAGTACCTATCTGGCGAGCTGTTCCCCTAGAGTATACATGTCATAGGATTGATTATATAGGCTATTGACTGGGAAATATTTAAAATAGCTCTTGCTGTTGTTCAGCCACTCAGCCATGTTTCTGACAATTTCTGACCCCATGGACTGAAGCACACTGCACTTCCCTGTCCTTCACCATCTCCTGTAGCTTGCTCAAATGCCATTGAGTCCATTGAGTCAGTGATACCATCCAAACATCTTGTCCTCTGTCTTCCCCTTCTCCTCTTGCCTTCAATATTGCCCACCATCAGGGTCTTTTCCAATAGGTCAGCTATTTGCACCAGTTCAGTTCAGTTAAGTTGCTCAGTCGTGTCCAACTCTTTGAGACCCCAAGTACAGCAGCACGCCAGACCTCCCTGTCCATCACCAACTCCCAGATTTTACTGAAACGCATGCCCATTGAGTCAGTGATGCCATCCAACCTTCTTATCCTCTGTAATTGCCTTCTACTCCTGCCTTCAATCTTTCCCAGCATTAGGGTCTTTTCAAGTAAGTCAGTTCTTTGCATCNTGAGAAACCTGGACACGTCAAGAAGCAATAGTTAAAACCAGACATCGAACAACAGACTGTTGTTTGAAAACAACAATTTTCAACATTGGGAAAGGAGTATGTCAAGGCTGTATATTGTCACCCTGCTTATTTAACTTATATGCAGAGTATATCATGCGAAATGCCAGGTGGGATGAAGCACAAGCTGGAATCAAGACTGCCAGGAGAAATATCAATAACCTCAGATATGTAGAGGGCACCACCCTTAAAGCAGAAAGTGAAGAGGAACTGAAGAGCCTCTTGATGAAGGTGAAAGAGAAGAGTGAAAAATCTGGCTTAAAACTCAACATTCAGAAAATGAAGATCCTGGCATCCGGTCCCATCACTTCTTGGCTAATAGATAGGGAAACAGTGGAAACCGTGACAGACTTTATTTTCTTGGGCTCCAAAATCACTGTGCACAGTGACTGTAGCCATGTAATTAAAAGACACTTGCTCCTTGAAAGAAAAGCTATGACAAAACTTGACAGCATATTAAAAGACAAAGACATTACTTTGCTTACAAAGGTCCATATAGTCAAAGCTATGTTTTTTCCAGAAGTCATGTATGGATGTGAGAGCTGGACAATAAAAAAGGCTGAGCGCTGAAGATCTGATGTCTTTGAATTGTGGTGCTGGAGAAGACTCCTGAGACTCCCTTAGACTGTAAGGAGATCAAACCAGTCGATCGTAAAGGAAATCAACCCTTAATATTCATTGGAGGGACTGATGCTGAGGCTGAAGCTCCAATACTTTAACCACCTGATGAGAAGGCTGACTCATTAGAAAATACCGTGATGCTGCGAAAGACTGAAGGCAGGAGAAGGGGACGACACAGGACGAGATGATTGGGTGGCATCACTGACTCAGTGGACATGAGTATGAACCAACTCCAGGAGTTGGTGAAGGACAGGAAAGCCTGGCGTGCTGCAGTCCATGCCGTCGCAAAGAGTCGGACAGGACTGAGCGACTGAAGAACAACTAGATACTGCTCATCATCAGTAAAGGGAAGATTGCTAAGGAGATAACCAAGACTTTCACCCTGATTGTTACTAGTAAGAGAAAGAGAATACTTTAAAATGAAATGACTGCGGTTTAATCAATTAATATATAGTAATACGTTTACAACGGAGCCCATGCGTGGGCTTATCACTTGCACCCCTGTTGTTACAGACAGATGAGTACCAGCCCACGTAAAGTGCTCCGGAAAAGTTTATAGGGAGGTCTGGGGCGCCTCTAGTAAAGAGATCGTCACCCGCCTCAGCAGGTCTGAGGAATGCCACGTACCGAACTTGAGAGTCGTCGTCCTCGGGCGCCTGTGTCTCTATGCACGCCCGCCTCAAGGCAGTTATCTCGGCTTCTAAGGCGCGGGCCTTTGCCCGCTGGGAATCCATGGAGCTGTGCTGACGCGAAGCTGCCTGACTTGGGCGCGCCAGGTCTGGTTCTTGAAGCCTCGCGCGCTCCTGGAGCGAACCATTCCGGAACTCGGCGGGGGAGGCAAGGGAACGACGCGCAATTCCCGCGCCTATAACTCGGTCACGCAAGTGTCTCCGGCTCGTTGCCAACCCTGCGCACTTTTCCACAGCTGTCCTCCAGCAGTCCTTACGCTTCAAGAGAGCTGAAATCCCTCTCGAAGCCCAAGAACGCAGCTACCCACCCCGACCTGGTGGCGGCTTGGAGCCCCAGTCACGGAAGAGGCGGTTCCGCGAGCACTTGAAGAGGGAGCCTCTTTGTATTTCTTCCCCTTCCTCATTTCCGCCTACCGTATCCAGGCGATAAGGTGATAACCCTCTTCTGTATGAATTAGCAAATTTTAGTTTGGGATCTTTTGCGGACTTAGAGGCAGGGGACGGGGTCATCGCGATTGCCTGGAAGACTGGAAACGAAATAAAGAACACTGGGAAACTGAGCGTAGTATTGGAACCTCAGGAGGCTGGGTTGGAAGTCCAGTAGGAAGAAAGAGATAGGGTACTTGTTGGGACACGTGACTAGAATTTAGACCTGTGAGCCGCGCTGGATGTAGAAAAAGAAGTGGTGAGCCCGGGGCTTGGGGCCTGGGATGGGAAGGGGCTAATTGGTCTACCTTCACCGTGCTCGTGTTCAGGTCTTCTCAGAGAAAGAAGGATGGGGTGGGTAGGTTTGGGACAGAGGAAGCTACCCGGAAGATATAGGCCGTGGCTCACGCCTAGATCTCGACCCATGCTCTGGCATTTTGGCGTTTGTTTTGGGGTTCCGTATGTGCGGAGTCTGTCAGCTGGTGGGGAGGGTCTTCTTGGGAACTGAGCACCAACTGGGCACTAAGCAAGGTAGGCATTATAGGCCTTAAATCCCAGTATCTCTGGAAGAGTTTTCCTGAGTCCCTTCTAATCCAACAACCTCCCTAGTACAGTGTTAGGAATTACGGATTCTGAAATTAGATTTGAGTTAGCTTCACCGCTAATTCTCTGAATGGCATTGGGAAAATGACTTCACCTCTCCTGCTAATCTGAAAAAAGGTGCCTGCAAACTACTTCATGCAACGCTGGCTCATAGTGTTAAAAAGAAAAAAATCTGTATTAGCTTTGATATCCGTTGTTCTTTTTGTGCCTGAAAACCACTTTGTATGTATTTCTGTTGTAATGTAGTATTGCAGTTGTAGCCTTTGCTTACTTATTTGACTATGAGAAGCTTGAAGATGGAGAGCGTAAAGAATCTGCCTGCAGTCTGGGAGAGCTTGATTCCATCCCTCGGTTGGGAAGATCCTGTAGAGGTTAATATGTTCCATCCCATTTCTGTCGGTTTATTAAAGTGAGTGAATAAAGGAGAAACACCTAACAGTATAGATTAGTAAACTCAGGAGGAGTAGAGTGTAATATTGTGGTCATTGAGAGGGATGTCCATCTGCACCCGTGTCTGTGTACTATTCCAAAATGCACTCATGAAGAACAAGGATGTAGTGTGTGAACAGTCTTCAGGAATAAAGTTGGGAACAATACAATAGGAAGGGAAGCACAAATCCAGGCAACCAGTTGGCATAGAAGTTTCAGGGAAAGGAGTTGAGGGTTTTTTGGTTTGTTGGTTGGTATGAGTTTTATTTTGTTGTTGTTGTTTGTTTGTTTCAGATTTAAGGGAAAGAACTCTAGGTAGAAATTTTTTTCCACGAGAACACCCTGGGTGTTTGTCCAGCCTTGATGAAAGCCAACAGAGAAATGAAACGCCTTTTTGTGGGTGGTCTTGGGCAGAATATTTCTGAGGCAGACTTGCAGAATCAGTTCGGCAGATTTGGAGACGTTTCTGATGTGGAGATCATCACTCGGAAAGATGATCAAGGTAAATTGAGAGTTCTTCATAGGTAATTAAAGCAAATATCAAGTCAAATATCACAAAATAAAGGAACCCCTAAAGATGAATGTTAGCCTTGAACACTGAAAGTGATGTTATTTCATTATGATAGTATAGTACTAACCCCATCCCAGCACATATGCCCTGGAGGTATTATGTATGAAATAAAAAAATTCTAAATTCCCAAACATCCCCCGGCCCTTTTTTTGGTGGGGAGGGAGCATGTAGCTTGCAAGATCTTAGTTCCCTGACCAGGGATTGAATCTGCCCTCTGCAGTGAAAGCCCAAAGTCTCACCACTGGACCTCCAGGGAATTCCCAAACATCCAGTTTCTGAAACATGTTGCTTTAAATTTTCAGAGCTAAAATTCTAATAACTACTAAGTGTCCTGTTAGAATACCACTAACATATAAACATGCAAAATGTTTCCTTAACTGACTGCTTGACCTTTTTCTCGTACATATTTTCTTTTAAAATATTTAGATAATAATGCTTTAAAATTTGCAATCTTTGTAGCCAATGAAAAATAAACAAGGTTTTTTTTTGAAAGAGTAAGTTTCTAAGAGGTCTTTTTTAAATTTAGAAGTCATTTTTACATTATTCTCTGGGTGAGAATTTAAAGTTTTTTTTTTTTTCTTTTTTAGGAAACCCACAGAAAGTGTTNAAAAAAAAAAGAGGGCTTTACATTATGCCCTTATAAATCCTTGAAATTATGAATTATCTATCAATAAGGTTAAGAAAACTGAGGACCAGCTGTGGCCTTCAGTGAACAAAGAGCGAGAGGTAATTCATACTGCCACTCATGTAGAAATACATCCTAATTATTTGGAGACCAAAAGGTCAAAAGACACTGAGTAGGAAGCATGCTCATAGAGAAGGAAGGCCATCGGCCTTTTGTAATGTCATCTGTCCAGTTGGAAACATGACAAGTACATTGCAGTTTTAAGAACACAGTTCTGCTGTGTGACCTAGCAGCTTTATTTAAAGTAGAAGACCCAGTTTGTTTATCTGATGTATGACCAAGATATTGCTTGTCTCTTAATATTACTATGAATATGAAATTGAATAATACTTTTGTACTTAGCATAGTACCTGTCTCACAGAAATTTCTCTTAGTGATAATTATTAAGGAAGCTGATAGCAGATACTGAGAAAAATCAGCTACTGTGGTACAGTAGTTCAAACACAGTTTAGTTGCTTGTGCTAGTATGTTTGCAAGTTATGCGGTGATAATTAGTATGAGGTGATAAATAAGAATGAGGAGCTGTAGGATTCCAGTGTCCTCTGATTCTCCCTAAGAAAATTACATTAATCTATAGTTTTAGTATGGTAAATAACAATGATATGTTAAATAAATACCAACCATTTGCCAGAGATTTCTGACATTACTTTATATTTTGCTTTAAGGTTTGCACATTTGCCTCATTCAGATCTTCAAGTTATATGAGACAATAGGGAATATAAGAATCTAATAAGTGGTCAAGATAAGAATGGGACCTAAGCCGCCTCTTTCCGGTCTCACTTTCCTTATTCTCTTTCCTCTGTGTGTCTGTGATAAACAGGTTTTCTTTTTCTCGTACTAATTAGTAAAAACACATGCTGAAATATATTTTTGCATTGCCACGTACTTGGGTACTAATTCTTTGCTTTATAGGTATGTCTGTTTTAAATAAAACAAAATGGAAAGGTGGGACACTGCAAATTCAGCTAGCAAAGGAAAGTTTTTTGCACAGGTAAGGTTTGCTGTATTTGATTTAATCCAAACATTAACACACTAATTTCTTAATATTGTAAGTGATTTTATATGTTCACTTAATTGATTTGAAACTATCATATATTATTGCAGTTTTAGCAAATTTATGCAGTATAGGTAGAGCTAAAATCCTTCTTAACTGAGATTCCCTATGACCCCAGACCCCACCAAAGAAGATAATGTAATGTTCTTATATATGGATATTTTAACCTATAAAAATATGTACTTCTTTGCAGCTTTTTAGACACAACCTTTTATGATGATGTAGGTCTTCCCCCTTCTTTGTAATACCTATTTAGTACTATTTTAGAAAATGTCCCACAGTCTAGTTAATCATCCCCCACTCATGGACCTTTAGACCATTTCCACTTCCTCTTGATAACAGATGACCCTTGAAGATATCTTCTATATATGTACAGGGGTCCCTCTGGTGTGTATGTCAACAAAAGGAGTTGCTATCTCATGGAGTTAAGCACACTTAAAATTTTAATAGATGGTACCAAATTGCTTATATTAACTTTAAACTGTTAATGAAAGTGTCATACAAAAACATAAAGATAATAGGGATCCCTGTAAGAGATGCATAAGATTAATTATGCTTAAGATTTAAGAACAAGGCAATGTAAAAACTATTAAAGCATTTTAAGATTCTAAAAGTATCCTTAGGGAGAAACGATTGTATGAGTTTGGGTGCTTTCAAAATAGGAGACATTTTCAGAATGTACAAGTAAAGTGACCAAGAGAGTTTTAAGATTTTTCTCAGGCAAAGAAATGCCACAAGGAAAAATAAGGTCTAAATCAAATTTTGTGGAACTAGCCTGGAGACGAAGGTGAGGATTTTGTTCTTCAGCTGTCGGCCTCTGTGAACAGGGGAGCAATGCGGCTTTGATTCAGCAGTACGTTGGTGCCTATTATAGGCAAGAACTGGGGCTCTCATCCTGAGCAGGGTGAGCATGCAGTGCTGCTGCCTTTGAGTGCCTGTGCACATCTGCCTGTGGAGCATGAATCTTGGAATTTGAAACGTAAAAGAGCCACACCAGAGGCAAAGAGGCCAATGAGAATCGGTCAGCACAGTTGACCAGGCCTGAATCAGATAGGGAGTTTGCATTGGAAGGTTGAGTTGGCATTCTATTCTGCATTCTCTTCATTATGAGAGTAGTAATATTCAAGATTTAGCAGATTAGACTCTGAAAGAAGAGACCTTTTCCTCACAACAAAGAGAAGGGATTAAAAATAGATAAAATGCCAAAAGTACGTAAGTTGAAAGGGAAAAGCTGAGAGACCCCAAATGATACCTATGAAGTTAAACAGCTTTATAGTATGAGAAAACTAGACAGAAGTGTGGTTAATAGTGTGATTGGTTATTTTAACTCTCTTATTTGTATTTTTTCTTTGATTCAGATTGGCCCAAGAGAGAGAAGAAGCAAAAGCAAAGAAAGGAAAATCAACAACAGGCAACACCAGCTTGTTAGAAAAGATGAAAACGGTGGATTTCCATGTGAAAGCTGTGCCAGGAACAGAAGTACCAGGACACAAAGTATGTCACTCCTGGTAGGCTGAGTAGCCTAGGAACCAATTCCTGAGACCAAATGACCATGAACATCACGTTTAAAGCAATTGCTTTTTTCTTCTCTCTTGCTTTGAAGCAGTTAACATGAATAGTGCTTTATGATCTTCCAAGTGCCTTTACAGCTCTTGGGAAAGCACAGGTTTCCCCCATTTTAGAAAGAGAAATAAAAACCCACATGGAGGCAAGTCTCCTGAGGGGAATAGAGGTGGTGAGGAGTCCAATCAGGTCCCAAGTTTGCCTTTTTAATGGCTATTATTTCTGTACCATCCTATGTGATTTATATGGGATCAACAACTGCCCCAATTTTCCTTCTTTCTGTATTCTTTTTTTGTAAGTTTTATTTATGCAGAATGGTTAATCTTTTCTGTTTGTGACAAGTATAATAAATATATCCTTTTTTTTCTTTTAGAATTGGGTTGTGAGTAAATTTGGAAGAGTCTTACCTGTCCTTCATCTGAAGAATGAACGTAAATGTAAAATATCCTTAGCAGTTGGCCTTTCAGAGAAATTATTGTTGACTACAGTGATGGATATTTGCAGAAGTTAACTTCGTATCTTTGGAGTTTCGCTGCTGCTGTCAGTAAATCTTTAGATGTTTAAGAGTTTTTATGTTCCCAATTTCTCTGTAAGGTAAGATCCACTTACCTACATGTATGAAACAATTAGAGGATGAGAAAATGTAGTGACGTTTTATACAAGTAAGTGATACAAATGATGCTTGTTAAGCCAGCAATTTTATTTACTAATTTATATATCATTCCTCTCATTTGTCATGGATTCAAAGCCATTTCCAGAGGAACTAAGGAAGGGCCAGGGAACACAGTGCAGTCATAAAAGTAGCCTTTTGACAGCAGAGAGGAGGATTTGAAAGGACAGTGTAAAGCCAAGAGATAATAGACACTATTTGACACACTTCACATATAATTAGTCAGGTATTCAGTAGTTACTAAGTGAACAAAGGAACTTTTCAGGAGTGAGAGATTAAAGCAGCTTATACTTATCTATTCGTATATTTTAGGAAATCAGCCAATGCCCCTGACAGTGACTAGAATCTTTCTGGACAGGGTTAGCACAAAACAGATCTGATAATTATTAGCCTTCTAAGAAAGACCTGCAAGAATTCAGAGAGTGAGTAAAATGTGAAGTAGATGTTTGAGCTAAGAGAATCAGGTCTAAGATGAGCCTGCATTAAAAAGACAGGAGTGATCAAAATGTTGGAGAATCTTTGATTCTCAGGTTTGAGATAACCAACGCTCAGTGTCTAGTTGTTCCCCCTCTGACTTCCCCTCTATACTCTGCTTTATGATGTTAGCAGTGAATAGATTTCTCAGACATATAGAAAAGTACCTAGAATATAATCTTAAGTCAGTTTGTTGTAATATACATATACAACCCAAGTAATTTCTTCCAGTTAATAGTGATTGATGATCGTTGGTTTTCACTCTGGACATGCCATAGACATGTCAGTTCCAAAGACCCTGCGTTACCTAATGAAGTCCTTTTTTGTTTGATTGGAAACTGAGGGTAAAATGAATCAATGATTTGCTTAAGATTAAACAGTATTCTTTTGCTTCACCAGATTGATAGGTTTTTCTAAAACCTAGTGCCTTTTTTTGTTCCTTGACTGTTGGTGACATCATGAAGTATGATCCCTCAAAATACTGCCACAACTTAAAGAAGATAGGGGAGGATTTCACAAATGCTGTCCCTATATCCAGCCTCACCTGGGAACTGGAAGGAGGGAATGATCCCATGAGTAAGAAACGGCGAGGAGAATTCTCTGACTTTCACAGCCCTGCCAAGAAGATAATAAAAGTGCAGAAGAATGAGGGTTCTACTGCATTTCTAACCATGAGATCAAAACCTAGTAGCGTAATGGAGAGTCCGCATTTAATACAACAAGTTGCACAAAAAACACCTCATAATTCCATTACTCCTAAATCACCCAATATAACTGATTTTGATCATCAGAAATTTAAAAATATTTTTTTTCAGACTTCTGGTTTAGAAACTACCAAAAACAGAAATAGCATATCTGATGATGATATTGATTCTGAAGATGAATTGAGACTAATGATTGCAAGAGAGGAAAACTTAGAGAAAACTACATGGTCCTCAAATGAATTTGAAAATGATCCCTTTGAAGTTGTAAGGGATGATTTTAAATCTGATTTTCACAAATTTCATACTTCAATAGGTTTAGGCCTCAAAAACAGTGTCTCTTGCCTCAACAGTGAAAATAATGTTATGGAAAATGGTTGTGACTCTGATTCAGGAGATACAGATGAAATCGTTGCAATGAAAAAAAGCTCTGGTAAGATCGAAAACGGTGTAGATTTTTCACAAAGAGAAAAGTCTGTGGACAAGAAGACTTACTTGAAAAACAGAAAAAAGTATGATCTTTCTGATGGCTGTGTTAAAGAACAAAAAAGAAAAAACAAAGTAGAGATAGCCCTCAGTCACAGAGTTAAGCCTCTTAGTTGTAAATCTCTGATTGAGTCCAGTAGCAGTGAAGATGCTGGTTCTGTATCAGAATCAACTGAGTGTGAAGGAGATAAGGAGTATAACACCTTGATGGGAAACTGTCTCCGTGTGAATCTGACTTTGGCTGATTTGGAACAGTTGGCTGGCAGTAACCAGGAGGCTCCAAAAGAAAAGACTGAGAGCAATGGCCAGGAAACCACTGCCAAGCATGACAGGGCCTCCAAGAGCCAAAGGACTCCAGGTGACCTCCGCAGAGGCCAGCAGTGTATTCACCCTGAGGAGATTGTGGCTTCTCTTTTAGAAGGAGGAGAGAACCCACGTGGAAAACAGAAACCAAAGGAAAATACCTTAAAGCCAAAATTTCAGGCTTTCAAAGGAGTGGGCTGTCTCTATGGAAAGGAATCAGTGAAAAAATCCTTGCAAGAGAGTGTTGCCTCTAATAATATTAATAAAGATCAAATTTCCTTGAAACTTGAGGAACCGAGGAACATGTCCATGGGAAAATGGTCCCTGTGTGCTAATGGCCTATCAAATGAACAGACTCCTTTCCAACATGGAAAGGAGGCAAATGATGCAAACCAAATTCAGCCTCAAAAGAGACAGTCTTTTGCGAACCAGAGTCACAAAGTGGTGTCCCCTAACAGTTCAGAAAAGAGAAATAGAAATCCTATTTCTAGTCTGTTGCCACTGAAAGATAAGAAATCCCTAAGTTGTGGTGCTAAGACTCCCAGCAGAGGCCTTGATGAAGACTGTTGCCACAGGACTGGGCAGTCAGGAGAAGGCTCTGAAAGAAGGCCTGATCTGTGCAGCTCCCAGGCCCCTGAGAAACCACCAGAGGTTTTCTCAAGGAGAGACTCCCAGGGAAGCAAACCTGACTTCCCACTTCCTGTTAATAGTTCATCAGATGTTAATGCTAAGGATAAACATGCTGAAGATAATCAGAAACGTTTGGCAGCCTTAGAGGCAAGGCAGAAAGCCAGAGAAGTCCAAAAGAAGCTGGTTCACAATGCTCTGGCAAATTTGGTGAGTATATTTTCAGTCTAGGAATTTACTAAGAACTCTCCAGGTCTGGTCTCTTTCTTTCCCACAAAGGGAGGCAGGCCCCTTTAGAGCTGCATGTTTGTGTTTTATGTCCTTGTGTCTGTACAGTATATCTGGATATTGCTTTAGAAAATATTACTGATATGGTTAAGTGATGTGTACTAATACATCTCAATTGCCACATATATCTCCTGTCAAGTGAGTCGTGTCTTACGAAGATTTACTATAATGGGACTTTATTCATTTTTTTCAAGAATTTGTTAAGTTCCTACAGAGTTCCAGGCCTTTACAGCAAGTGTTCGATTTATAGAAAAGATCACTATCAGGCTGTATTGGCTCACAGTGTGGTGAACAGAGGGTCACAGTTTGGTTCCATGCAATGGGAAAGAAGTATGCCTACATGCTCTGACAGGAAGCAGACCAGTTTGTTGGCATTGCCAGGGAGTGGGTACTTCCCCAGCTGACCTGAGTCTAGTGGGAAAAACTCAGTAGAAATTGGTCTGGCAGAGGCAAAAGGGTAGAAAGAGAGAGGAAAGGCATTATAAGATAAGGCAGCAGTTTGTACAAAAGTGAATATTTGCAATAACTGACTAAATAGAGTACAAGGTGGTGAGAAGTGAGAGAGATAAGTAGGCTACAGGGCTGGAGTTTATTCTTAAGTCTGGGAAAAGACTAAAGGACTGAAAGCAAGGGAGGAAAGATAAGTTGTGTTGGAACAGGAATTGGCAAATGAGCCCATGTCCTGTTTTAAAAGAGCCTCCTAGCTAAGAATGGTTTTTACATTTTTAAAGAGTTTTTAAAAGAAGAATATAGAACTGAAACTATATGTGGCTTGCAAAGCCTAAAATATTTATTCTCTGACCCTTGACAGAGAAAGTTTGCCAACTTCTGTTTGGGGCAAATGGTTCAGGACGTGGTGAGAACAACAAATCAAATGCGACAAATAAAGGAACGGGGATAGACAGTCTTTAGGAGGTTTTGAGCCAGAACCAAGGCAGTGACTGTGGGAATATATTTTTTAAATAGCAGGAAGGCCCAACTGATGGGACTTGGTGATCAACTGGAAATGGAAAGTGAGAAGTTTCTATCTTGGGATGATGGCGGCATTCAGTAGAGAAAAAATAGGGTGGGAAATAGACTTACTTGGGTAAGGAGATGAGAAGTTGTCTTAAAGGTAATGCTTTTGATAACCACTCTAGGATGGTCATCCAGAGGACAAGCCAACGCACATCATCTTTGGTTCCAATAGTGAAAGTGAAACAGAGGAGATATCCACTCGGGAGCAAAGCCATCCAGGAGAGGAACTGGTAAAAGTAAGAAATTTAAAATGTCCATATGGGCATGCCTTTACTTGTGCAGATCCATTTCTACATATTGCATACCAAAACCTGCCCACGACTGCTGCACTAAACATAAAATTTCCTCTGGGAGCCACAGTGAAACACAAAACTCCCCAGACCACCACGCATGGATGCTACAGGGGCCTTAGAGATTTTCTCCCACATAAATTTGTCCTCTGCAAAGTGACATCAATATTAGTGAAACCATGCAGAAAATGTTCTTACATATAATAACTGCCCCTGTTTCAGGCTGCATTAGGAGCCTCTGGAGACCCAAGGGGCCATGTAAATATCACTGAGTCAAGAGTTTCCATTATAACCACCACACTGTTTCCTGGGATATGCATCATTTTGAGTCATTTCTTAAGTGTAAGGAGGAAAATTGCATAATGAGAGAAATACTGATTGTCTTGGTTATTAATAAACATTTCTGTCCTTGTGCAACAGGAGTCCATGGGTAGAGCCTCTGGGAAGCTCTTTGACAGCAGCGATGATGAGGAATCTTGTTCTGAAGATGACAATAACAGGTTCAGAATTAAACCTCAGTTTGAGGGCAGAGCTGGACAGAAGGTTAGTGAAGACTGAAAATAAAAAAATTTGCAACATGCTCTTTTATTTTTTCAACATAGTCCTTAAATCTAGGTTAATGAAGGCAGACCTTGCCCAAACTCTAACATTAAGGTTTTTATTTTGAGATTGAGTCCTCCATGGCCCTCTTTGTTTGGTTCATGGGTAGGTGAGGTTACGCAAGCATTAATGTAGTAAATTTCACAGCGTGGGAAGTATACTTGGAGGGTCTTGTTTATAAGTAATTTCTTGGGAATGCGACTGTCAGTTGTGTTTGTGTTTTTTCTTTAGCTCATGAATTTGCAGTCTCACTTTGGCACTGATGACAGATTTCGCATGGATTCCCGATTTCTAGAAAGTGATAGTGAAGACGAACATGAAGGTAAATGACTCATTGTCCAAACAAACAGTCCTGATGTCAGAGCTGGCATACCTTGAGAAATAAACTCATCTAGCATCTTCACTTAACACATAGAGAAGTGTTTTATGTATATATAACACACGGAGTGTTATGTGTACATGGTGTGTTATATATACATGTAACACTTGTACATACTAATTTATTTATAAAATTTTAATTACCTGAAGCTGCCAGAAAAGACAGGAATAATAGCATCTGCCAGAGGTACCATCTTCCCTCATCCCGTTCCTGGTCTTAGAAGTCAAGGACCCTACCTGGCAATAGGTCAACAGGTCCTTGTGAGGTTGTGTAAGACAGGTACATCCCACTTGGCTTACTTAAAGAATTCATGCTCGGTTCCGATTTTTTAAAGCAATGTATCATTGAATGTCACTCTACTTAAATTCATTCTTATTTGCATATATTTAACAGCATTGATGCTATCGGAAGCATCAGCAGCGGTTCCAAATGTTCTTTACAAGATCTTCTGTTCTTATCCTTTGCAAAAGACCTCATCTCCTATTTGACCAAGAGGAGGCCACTTCAAGTAGCTCCCAGCTTTCCTTTCCAATCTCAGAACTACTCTGTCCTTTCTTTTGTCTTCTTTCCTGAGTTTATCTAATCTGCATCTTGATCTTCTCCATTTATACCTCCTGTTCCCTCCTTTCTCATTTGCATCTTCACACTTAACTTTCTTCTATCTCTCTGCTCTTTCTACAGACATAATTAGGTCTCATAGGTTAAAAAAACCATTTCTTCAACCCTGCCAGTTTTAGTTGCCATTCCCCCTTTTTTTTTTCAGTTCTAAGTTTGAAATGAAAAATAAATTGCATCTAATTTAGAAGCAGTTGATTTTATTGAAAGTACAATCTCTGGATATGATACTTTCAATTCTTTGAGGTGATTATTATGTATATTATACATTTCTGAAAACAAGTATTCTGAGAGTAAATTCTCTAGGATCCATACCAACTTATTGTTTCAGAACTTTTCACTCATCTGAGTAAGAATGGATAGAATCTTGGGATTAGTCAAGAAGCTATAGATGTTGCTTTCTAACTCCTGCCACTTTTGTCTGTCTCATATTTATAACTCTTTAGAGTGAGTTCCCTCAAAGCTGTGAATAACTGGTTTACCAGATGCAGTGGCATCTTCTCAAGCGTCACCCTTCAGCCTGCCTGTGGCATTTGTTACTGTTGATCATCCTTCTTGAAATGTTCTCTTCCCTTTGCTTCTATTGCACTATAACTTCCTTGTTTTCTTCATAATTCTTGGTTCCTAAATTTTCGTTTGCTTTGAGATACAGGTTCTTCCCAAGGTTCTGTAGTCCGTGTGGCTTTAGCCTTCATTTTTACATGAATATTTTTCACATCTGGGTCATCTTTGCTCCTGACTGTTCTGCTTTTCAACTTTAGATAGACCTGTGAGAAATATCCATCGGGCATTGAGGAAAGAATAATTGGGAGCTCAGCAGAAAAGTCAGGAGCAAAGATTACCCACATTTGGAAAATATTCATGTATAAAAAAAGGCTAAAGCCATAGGGTCTTACAGAACCTTGGGAAGAGCCTGTATCAGAGGTTCCTTGGGAACCTTTGAGACTGAATTTTTTGTATGTTGCACAAAGACCGTCCTACAGGTAAGCAGCCTACCAATACACTGAGCTCTTCTAACATTCTGTTCTACTGCCTAATTGTCAATATTAGGATAAAATTAAAATTGCCACTTTTTGAAGTCAGAAATCATTGAACATGAGCAGTTTCATATGGTTTAGCCTAATGCAGTGTAAACTCTCTGCAGTTTTTTATTTCAGTACATGTTCATTTTGTTTCCTAGCATGCTCTCTTCCTTCCTCAGGGGACTACTTTGTCTTTCCTACCTTAGACTATACCCAGTTTGTAAAACATTTCTTAATCCAACTGAACATAATCCCTACCTCTTTTGAACCCTTAGATACTTTTGGGCCATCTCTATAGAAAATTTATGAAAATCAGTGTTTTATTCTGTTAATTTCTGTTATTTAGTTGTTTATATCCTACAGTAATTTGAAAAGGTCTTTAAGGCTCAGACTTCTTTTATGTTTTCTCTTATAATCCAAACTGGCTGTTAAATGTTTAACTTTGTTCCCTGATACTTGTCTGTTTTTAGTAAATAAGAAAGCCAGCTTATAGGATTCCACAATGCCCTGTGTGTAGTCTCTCTTCCTGTGATATTTATTACTGAATTTAAAAGCTAAAGTAACTGTCTGCTAACATGGTGTTAATAGTCAGTAAAATTACCACCTTTCACTATCTTTCACTTTTAGATTTACATGTAATTTAGATTAATTTCTAGATTGTTAAAAAAATCAAAGAATCTTTATTCACTTTAGTTTTGTAATTACTGTCTTGCTCTATTACATTTGTCAATCTTTACCTTAAAAACTTAGACTTGCCACTGAAAGCCATTAATTTCATATTTCATTTTTATAATTATAAGTAGAAATGGAAATTTTGTTTGCTGGTCATGCAATTTCTGGATTCACTGTGACATCAGGGGCTTAGGGACAGAGAGGTTAGCAAAACAAGGTTTAGCTTTTGTTCTTCCTATCTTAATGTGCTTTGCACATGTTTAAGTGCTTGATAAATATTTGATTATTGAGATTTCTCAAGTTATGTTTGCCAGAAGATTACTAATTATCCTCTTCCCTCGAAGAAATAAATGAAAAAAAAACTGCTGAGGAGGAAGAGCTTGCTGCAGAAAAATTGAAAGCCCTGAATGTTGTGCAGAGTGTTTTGCAGATCAGCTTAAGCAATTCTACAAGCAAAGGATCAGTAGCTGCTAAGAAATTTAAGTATGTCTTATGTTTCATCTCACTCTTCTCTCTTCCTTTGCCACAAAATTAGGCCATTTTCAACTTCTTGGGGAGAGCAGTTAGCATATGTATCAGACTCTTAATATTATACTTACCTAGTCATTCACTTCAAGAAACTAATCTAAATTTTTTTCTGTATTTATTATTACTGAAAAACGGACAACTGTTTAAATATTAATAAATGTAACAGTTTATTATGGAGAATACATAACTTAGGGAGACTAGTGTAATGAAACCCCTGTGTACCACCACCCAACTTCTCCAATCACTAACATGTGACCAGTTTTCTCTTCTGTACTTTTACTCACTCCCCCCTACTTTCCCCACTGAAAATTTGTATTTTATATAAATCCCAATAGTATATCATTTTATCTATATATATTTTCCTGCTTTAAAATAATATTTAAAAAATTTTCGAAGATCCCCTCAGAACTGGGTAATTTAAAATATAATTGCTTCTAAGGAGCTCCTGATATACTTAGTTGATATTTATGCCTTTGTCTTGTTCAAAAGTGGAATTGTCCTGGTTTTGCATTATGTTTTGCTATTAGTTTTTTGGATTTATACTCTGATTTGTCCCTTCCAACTTACCACTCTCCTTTTTTAAATAGGGACATCATACATTATGATCCAACAAGGCATGACCATGCCACTTACGAAAGAAAGCAGGATGATAAACCAAAAGAAAGGTAAATTAAACTGCTACAGTTACTAGTAAGGTATCTGTGTTAATCTTTTAGATTTGGCAATTGTTTCATATCTATGTAAGATGCTACTATGAGGGGAAACTAGGTGAAGGTTATTTCTAGTTTTTCTATAAATCTGTTTCTAGTTTTTCTATAAATCTAAAGTTATTCCAAAATTAAGTTTCTTTTAAAAAGAATCACATTCAGACCATACAAGCCTCCTCATTGTGGAATGTCTCTGTACCTACCTGTCAAATCTAGTGGTGTTTCTGTTCCTTTAATTGTCTTAAAAGTATTTGGGTCTCCTGTGAATCTTTTTGGGATTCACTTCATTAGACAAAAGCCAAAAACCTGCCGGGACTGCTGAGAAATAATACCTTTAAACTCATAAGAAGCGCTCTTGTTTTAACAGTTGGAGTTGCTGAGCTATATCTAGGTTCTCAACAAAGAATTTTGCTTTATACTAATAATTAGACTAGTGTACACATTCTTCTCTTCAGATAACAGTAGTGAATATGTTAGGCTTTGCAGCCAGATGGTCTCTCTTGCAGTGACTCTCCTCTGTCCTTACAGCAGAAATGGAGCCGTACATAATACACGAAACGAATAAGGTAGGCTGTGTTCTAATAAAACTGTTAGGAGGACACTGAAATTTGCATTTCATGTAATTTGTACATATTATGAGCCCATCTTTTTATATAGTGTTTTCCAGTCACTTCAAACTACAAAAATTATTCTTAACTTGCAGTCCATACATAAATAGGCAGCGGCTTGGATTTCATCCATGGGTGTACTTTGCCAAAACCTGCTTTACACTATATTTTCCTGAGAAAATAGATTTGTTCTTTGCTTAGAAGATATTAAATTTTATGTTATTTGCCTTCTAGAGAATAGGAGTCTTCAAAACCATGAGGTCCTAGCTCCTTATTAAAAAAAACTTCTTTCTTTAGTTTCACTTTCTCTGCTTATATGTTACTGTAAGCAGCAAGAAGAAATCAGAAAATACCTTCAACACCTTCCTGGACATCTCCATTGCTAGATCACCCACTCATTAGGTTCATTTTTTATTTCCCAGTTAATAGAGGCGACAGTGTTGCTAAGCCTACTGCCACTATATAACAATGATCTCCTTTCCTCCATTTTCCAATAGAGTTTACTTCACTTTTTTGCAAGGCCTTACTTGAAGCCTCAATTGTCATGTAGTTTCTACTGACAGTTTTTTCAGGGAATTTTCATGCTTTTGCTAACACCCTCCTCACTGACCTTCCAACTTCTGCTTATTGTGTGGGCTCTGAAGTCATTCCTACATTTTGGACTTTTATAGCAGTACCCTACTTCTAGGGACCAAAATATGTATCAATTAGGTATTGCTATGTAAAAAATTGCCCCAAAACTAAGAACTTGAAACTAAAAATTTATTAGGTCCCAATTTCTGTGGGTCAGGAATTTGGGAGCACTTCACCAGGTAGTTCTGGCTTGGGCTCTCAAGAGGTTGTAGTTAAGATGTCACCTGGGGCTATAGTCTCTGAAAGTTTGCAGCCTGCTTGCAAGATGGTTCACACTCTTGACCGCTGGCAGGGGGCCTCAGTTCCTTGCTTTGTTGACCTCTCCTTTTGGGTGTTTGGGTGCCCTCAGAACATGGTATCTGACTTCTTCCAAAGCCGGTGATTAGGAAAGGGGAGATAGCAAGGAGAACGCCACAGTGCACTCTATAGCCCTATTTCAGTAGCTGGACACAATCCCATCTGCCTTACTCTGTTCCTTAGAAGAGGTCATTAAGAACAGACCACACTGAAAGTGATGGAGGAATTAACTCCCACTTCTTGAAGTATCAAAGGACCTTTGGACCACTTTTAAAACCACTACATTGTGTTTCATTGATCTTGGAGCTCAGTTTCATAGGAGGCATATTTGACTTACAGCCTACGGTTTATTTAATGAAGTATTAAAAGTTTTTCTGTATAAGATCGTCTCCACCAGTAAGATGATCATTTACGACATTATTATTTTAGGTAAAACAGAATATTTGGCCTAATAAATAGAATAGACTCTAGTGGAAAAAAAGGATTTTAATCTTTTACTATCTAAAAACTCAGTATTGGAGACTGCTGTGTAACTGTGGTTAAGACCAAAAACAAAAACATATTCCTAAATGTAGAGCAGGTTGATGGAAACAGATTTCATCCCAGACCGACTAGACTTGACATATTCATAATGCGCTTCTACAACAGAATTATGGCTAAGTCCTTTAATGCCAGTGTCAAAACTCACAGTTTTACAGTCTGATAGTATCTTAAAAGTCATGTGGTTTAACCTGGTTCATCTTGCAAATGAGGATACTGAGGTCCATTGCAGTTAAGTAATTTTCTTACTCATAGCTGATATCTTAGGTGTAATTTCTGAAGTGTAGTTTAGAGGGTAAGAGAGGAGAATGTGATTCATGTTTAATACTTGGAGCTGTCTGAAATTAATTTTGTCTATAAAAAGCTTTTTAGGTTAAGATTCTGCCCTTGTGAGTTGTATATGTGGATCCTCTTGGTGGTTGGAAAAATGGGACTAATGTTATATAAGGTATTTTTATTTCCTGATTTCTGGAATTTTCCCAAACATTGACTTTTTTTGTGATCTCTATATATGTCAACGCAGTAAAGCAAAACGAAAGAAGAAAAGGGAGGAAGCTGAGAAACTCCCTGAGGTGTCTAAAGAAATGTATTATAACATTGCTACGGATTTAAAACAAATATTCCAAACTGTAAAAGATACTAGTGAAAAGGAAGATAACACACCTTGGAATGAGGACTCTGATGGAGAGAAAGCTGAGGTAGTCCAGGACACTCCAGCTCTGATGACTCGGGATGAACAAACCGGCGGGTTCACATTTTCCTTTTTTGAGTCTGACGCCAAAGATGAAAAGGAAGGTACATTTTTGTTTGTTTTTACTTTTTCATTTCATGCAGTATGAATTTAATTGAGTCTCCTGTAAGGGTGATGATTTAACATTAGCCGAAGGCAGTATTCTCTATCTAAACGAACAGTATTTCAGTCAGCATTACATAACCATAAATGTAATGTGCCTAGAGCTATGTTTAACACAGTAAGAAATTGTTCTTGAATTTGGAAGCAAACTTCTGGATAGCTGCCATTTGAAGGGAAGCCAGAGAATAATATGCAACATTCCTTCTTCTGTTGAGTAGAAATAGTCATATATTTAAATATGTTTAAGAAGTCGTATATTTAAATAGCTTTACATTTTTGATGCAGTTGGAGAAGCCATAATTTCAGGAAAGCCAGTGCTGTTTGTTAGGAGAAGAAATATGTAACCCTGGCTCTAAACAAATAGGCTGTGTCATCAATATACCAGCTGTTTCAAACTTTATCCTTGGAGATTTGCCAGAACCTAGAGAAAAGTATAGCACCGGTATATAATTTTCCATCCCACTTCAAGAGGTTTACCTCCAAAGTCCTACATATAGTCTAAAAGTTTGAAACACCTGAGTACCAAGGTCAGTCCTAAACTGTTGAACAGAGTTGGTATGATATAGATATTTTAATTTTTCTAACTTTGAGAGCCAAGTGTGAGAAATTGGCCTTGAAATGATTGCTAAGATACCTGAGCAACCTGGGAGATGTGTTTTATGTGCTTTGGAAATTATGAGGACTTTTGAAGTGACCATCCACATCTTTTAGCAGCAGCTTTTTCAGCAGTTTTAGAAGTAAGTTTGGGAAATAGAAAACTTAAAGATATGTTCCTTGTCTCCTTTATGAATAAGCAGGAAGGCAAACTGGTTTCACTGCATCATGTTGTAGCTTAGACACCTCAGTGCTAGCACAGGTGTCACACTTATTTTGCTTTTTCTTGTAAATTGTATTGCTCATTTGTAAGCCTTCAGTTTTTAATATCTTTTTATAGTATTACTGTATTCCTTATGAGATCACTCTAGCAATGCCAAAAAATAAAAGTTTCTCCCAATACTTGAAAATCAAAAAGATACTACATGTTTTGAATTAATGATTAAGATATTCAAAATGTAGAAATATGTATGCATGGTGAAAGTAAACAAGTGAATGTGTCCAAAAATACATGGGCTTTAGGTTACAGTTACATCATCTTTCATTGTTTTGATGACATAGAGACCTATAGAGTTGAAGCAGTAAAACCTGGGAAGATAGCCTGGCAGGGAGACCCTCGTTTCCAAGACAGCAGTTCAGAAGAGGAAGATGTTACTGAAGAAACAGATGACAAAAAGCAGAGCCCTGAGTAAGTAATGTGTTTCTGTCCAGATATAGTTCATAATTTATAAAGTCTGAGTTAGACATGCTTTAGAGATATTATAGAAGTATCTTAAATTTAGCTTTTCAAGACAGTTTTCTTTTTTTTGGCTCCTTAAGAGAGTTCTGTAGTCTTTTTTCATTGGGAGCATGTTTCTTTTCCTTGAGGTTTGGATAGCAAATCTCAAGATATGCTGTGCAGAGGGAAGAAAGCCTGCCACTGACGTCCCTAGTCTGGAAGAGGATGCTTCATCTTGTTAGCTGCTACCCCATAGGAAACACTAGCAAAACGGGTAGCAGTGGTTGGGTGAGAGTGTTAACAATCAGCATGGGGAAGATAGAGCTTGTACTTAAATCTTTGTTACCGAAGTTACAGGTAGCGGCAAAGAATATTGAATAGAGAAAGGGTGGTATTACTTTGACTCAGGGAAAAAATGAGCAAGACACAAAGCACAGATATTTAAGGCATAGTTCATTTATATTTACAGTGTGAACATTTCTTAAATGTTGAAATTAAGTGGCCAATTCTATCTTTCTCACTTCAGAGAAGTATCATTACCTGAGAAAGAGACTACTCGATTTTTCTTTTTCTCTAAGAATGATGAGAGACTTCATGGTAAGTCATTTTTTTGATTAAATGGTATATATAGTACATCTCTATTTACACATAGTGTATTCTGATATATTAATACTAACATGCATCCAAGTAAGAACTGATTGGGAAAAATTCTGATCCTTTGCAATGTGATATGCTTTAGCCCCGTCTTGTTAGACAGAAGCTTGTTGACATAAAGCTTTGGAAAGCTGAAAGCTTCCCATTCATCACCTCAACTTACTCGCTATCCTCAGCAAGGGCTTGTTTTATTCCAGGGGCTTGCTGAGATGCTAGACATACAAAATTCGTACGTTTTTAGTACCCTAAAAAGTTCACATGAAGTATACTCAATATCTTGTAATAAACTGTAATGGGAGAGAACCTGAAAAGACTGTATGTGTGTAACTGAATCACTTTGCTGTATACTTGAAACTAACACAACATTGTGAATTAACTATACTTCAGTAAAACAAAAATAGAAAAAAAGTTCACATGAAAATGCTGAGGCTGTTGAACTCATTTCTGAAGCCTAACACAAACAGAAACTAAGTTACATCATAGTAAATGGTTTATAAACAGTAAAAATCCTAGCAATTCTACATTTTCATTTTCTAAAAGAATAAAATATTTTTTAAAATTAGCATAAACTGGGGGTGAGGAATCGTGTTAACTAGAATTGAAGACCTTGATAATGCCAGCACTAAAATATTGTCTATTTTAATAATCCTGTGCTGCCTTGCCCTTCTTTATTTTCCCTTCTAGGTTCTGACTTATTTTGGAGAGGAGTGGGAAGTAATATTAGCAGGAATTCTTGGGAGATCAGAACAAACAATTTGCGTATGGTGAGTATCGCCATGTTAATTGTCTCCTGAAATAGATATGATGTTACCTTTGTGTTAATATTTGCCTGGTGTAGGAATATAGGAAGGCATGAAACTTGAGATAACTGAAAACATGATTTAAATGCTCACAATTAATAGTGCTGGAAGGGAAGTTTTAATTGTTTAATTAAATCCACCCATGTGCAGAAAGGAGACTAAAGAGTGGCTCCATTAAGTGACTGATCTGAGTTCTCATCATGCTTAAGTAACAGGAAATGATGAAATTTTTTTAAAGACTGAATTACAGTTTCCATTTTAAGCACATAAAGCCAAAAGTCTGAACATTCCACATACATGTGAGCACTTCCAAAATGATTTCTACAACCCAGTCACTGAATAAGCTAAATTTTACTTTCTATAGTTACTGAACACTGTGAAACTTATTTTATTTTTAACAAAGGCTTTTTTTTTTAATTTTATGGCTTCATGAATTTCCAATAATTTATTGAAAAATGGAGGAAGTATAAGAAATAATATAAGTAACATGAGGGAATTATTGGAGACTTTGACTGCAGAGTCTACTCTCAAAATAACAATATGCACATTCTGTCTTATTTATGAACCTGCCATGCCACACCTAACAAGGGCTTTTGATTTTATGTTTTTCTAGGACTGTCGGAAGAAACATAAAGATGCCAAAAGGAGAGTGAAGCCAAAATAATAAATGTCATCATTAGTTTTGATACTGAATGTAAAGAAGTCTCACCATGGAAATTGGAGTGATCTAGAAAATGATTTTAGCTGGCAAAGAATTCAGACTGAAGGAGTATTCTAAATCTTACCTGGTGGATATCATTCTGATTGCTTTCTTTTTCTGTAGATTTCCAATTTGTTCTTACCTAATTACTTCAAACAACCTGAACATTTGTTTTAATGAAGCATACGATAGTCCCTCAAAATACTTTGTATATATTTGCCCTCATCTTCAATAACTAATGGACATTTCTTGACATGAGGTTTTAAAATATATGCATCAGAGCACTTATATTTTCCAAGTTATGTTTCATGTAAATTATACTTGAAATATTTCTGATTGTATTAAATACACCTTACCTCCATTTTGTGGTTTTTGTCTAAGAGGTTGAATACAAGTCAACCTTCAGTTCTGTATTTGTGTCCTGATGAATAAGCTAACTGAAATGCAGAACATTTCAGACCAACTTTATGGGAGAGTTCTGTGAGGACCAGAAAAGAACGCTAAATGCAGAGTTTTCCTTTCCTTAGCCTCCAGGAATTCATGGAGGCAGACCCGTCAGTCCCAAATTCTAGTTAGATTAGAAGCTTTTGAAAAATCGAGGTGCCTGAAAGATAACATAGTAACAGTTAGCAGTCAGTGCCCTGGGTCCAGATAAGGAAACAGATTTAATACCTCATTAAATTAACATGGCTAGGATTCAAGACAGATAAGCCTCTTATCAAACTGGACTCTGTACAAAATTATGCTTTATATAATAAAGTCCCAGGGGATTATCATTGAACCATAATGGGTGTATCTGAAATTACATATTTATTGATTTATATCTTCATCAAATATAAACTCTGTGAAAGCTGGGATATCACCTGGTTTGTTAACTGTTATGTCAGTACGACCTAGAATTATGTCTGTTTTAAACTGGGTGCTCAGTAAACAGGGTCTAAGGAGCTAAGTAACTGAAGAGTCATTCAGAATTCCTGTTTCCAAGGCTTCAGACTTCATGAAAAATGGCAACCACCCTTCAGCAAGATAAATAACTCCACCTTTTCTTGATGTTCATTATATTTGTACCATCTTATCTATTGCTGCATAACAAGTCATCCTATTAACACTTGTTCATTTTCCTCACAGATAAGCAACTTTTTTCAGGACTTTGGGGACTGCTCATCTCTACTCCATATAGTGTCATGGGAGTGGCCCAGCTGGCACTAAAGATCCACTTCTAAAATGGCCTGTTCACTCAATGCCTGTCCATTAGTTTCCTCACAGCATAGCAACATAACTTTCAGTTTCATAGCAAGTCATTTTCTTCCTGTTTCTATTTTAGGAGCAGGAAGCAGATGTCTTAAATCCTAGCCCAGAAACTGGCTCAGTTATTTTCCAATATATTTTATAGGGTAAAACAGACTCTGAGCCCCCAAAAGTGCGGGGACATAGATCCTCACATCTCAGTGCAAAGAGTGTTCAGAATCTGTGGCCATGTTTGAATCTGTTATACCCTCCATCTCCAGAGCAGACAAATGGAGCATCAGGTAGCCTTGTGCATCACCAATTTGTGCTCCCCAGATATATCCATTTTCAGAAATTTGGTTTCCTCTGATATTATTTCTGAATTTCTACCTAATGTTTATGCTGTGATTTCTTGGTTTTTCAGTTTTAGACATTAAATTTAGACATCATTTTAAAATAATTAGACCTATAATCCTCACCTGTTTTCCCCATGAACAAGTCTGTCTGGAAACCCTCTGTTCTGCTCTAATCTGGGCTGTCTGGACAGATGATAAAATGAACAAGGTGGCAATTTGAGGAATGTGAAAATTAAAACACATTCCAACTTCTAGTTAATAACCTAAATGTTCTTAATTAAACTATCTCAGGAATGCCCTACACATATTCTCAGATCAGGTTTTTTTCTGTCCTTTTATTGGCTATCAGTTCAGTTCAGTCGCTCAGTTGTGTCCGACTCTTTGCGACCCCATGGACTGCAGCACGCCAGGCCTCCCTGTCTATCACCAACTCAAACTTGAGTTTACTCAAACTCATGTGCATTGAGTCAGTGAGGCCATCCAACCATCTCATCCTCTGTCATCCCCTTCTCCTCTTACCTTCAACTTTTCCCAGCATCAGGGTCTTTTCAAATGAGTCAGCTCTTCACATCAGGTGACCAAAACACTGGAGTTTCAGCTTCAGCATCAGTCCTTCCAATGAACACCTAAGACTGATCTCCTTTAGGATGGACTGGTTGGATCTCCTTGCAGTCCAAGGGACTCTCAAGAGTCTTNTCTTGAAGAATTCTCTACAATTTGTTGTGATCCACACAGTCAAAGGCTTTGGCATAGTCAATAAAGCAGAAGTAGATATTTTTCTGGAACTCCCTTGCTTTTCGATGAGCCAGCTGATGTTGGCAATTTGATCTCTGGTTCCTCTGCCTTTTCTAAATCCAGCTTGAACATCTGGAGGTTCACGGTTCACGTATTGCTAAAGCCTGGCTTGGAGAATTTTGAGTATTACTTTACTAGCATGTGAGATGAGTCCAGTTGTGTGGTAGTTTGAGCATTCTTTGGCATTGCCTTTCTTTGGGATTAGAATGAAAACTGACCTTTTGCAGTCCTGTGGCACTGCTGGGTTTTCCAAATTTGCTGGCATATTGAGTGCAGCACTTTCACAGCATCATCTTTTAGGATTTGAAATAGCTCAACTGGAATTCCATCATCTCCACTAGCTTTGTTCACAGTGATGCTTCCTAAGGCCCACCTGAGTTCATATTCCAGGATGTCTGGCTCTAGGTGAGTGATCATACCATCGTGATTATCTGTGTCGTGAAGATCTTTTTTGTACAGTTCTGTTTATTCTTGCCACCTCTTCTTAAATATCTGCTTCTGTTAGGTCCATACCATTTTTGTACTTTATCGAGCCCATCTTTACATGAAATGTTCCCTTGCTATCTCTAATTGTCTTGAATCAATCTCTAATTTTTCCTATTGTGTTATTTTCCTCTATTTCTTTGCACTGGTCACTGAGGAAGGCTTTCTTATCTCTCCTTGCTATTCTTTGGAACTCTGCATTCAAATAGGCATATCTTTCCTGTTCTCCTTTGCTTTTTGCTTTTTTGCATCTTTTTTTCTTGGGGATGGTCTTGGTCCCTGTCTCCTGTACAAAGTCACGAACCTCCATCCATAGTTCATCAGGCACTCTGTCTACCAGATCTAGTCCCTTAAATCTATTTCCTACTTCCACTGTATAATCGTTACGGATTTGCTTTAGGTCATACTTGAATGGTCAAATGGTTTTCCCTACTTTCTTCAATTTATGTCTGAATTTGGCAATAAGGAGTTCATAATCTGAGCCACAGTCAGCTCCTGGTCTTGTTTTTGCTGACTGTATAAAGCTTCTCCATCTTTGGCTACAAAGAATATAACCAGATTTTGGTGTTGACCATCTGGTGATGTCTGTGTGTAGAGACTTCTCGTGTTTTTGGACGAGGGTGTTTGCTATGACCAGTGAATTCTCTTGGCAAAACTCTTAGCCTTTGTCCTGCTTCATTGGTGGGGCCATGCTCAGTAAATTGTTAATCCAATTTTCTGTTGATGGGTGGGGCTGTGTTCCCTCCCTGCTATTTATGTGGAGCCAAACTATGGTGGAGGTAATACAGATAATGGTGACCTCCCTCAAAAGATCCCATGCATGTACTGCTGTACTCAGTGCCCCCAACCCTACAGCAGGCCACCACCGACCATGCCTCCTCCAGAGACTCCTGGACACCCACAGGCCACTCCCGGATGTATTATTGGCTATAGTAAGCAGTTATACACTGAATTACTCTCAATTTGTCAAGGGCTGAAATTTTCTTCATAGTCTGGCTCCAATTCTGTGATCAACTGTCCTTTGCATGGCTTTAGATTCCCTTTGGTTTTTAATCAACATACCCAAAAGGTGCTTGGGGAGACTCAAATCAGTGATATTAAATACATAAGTAAGCAGACTAATAGACAAATAATTTTGTTTTCAATTCAGGAATCATTAAGATGTAATAGTTATAAAGCTGGTTGTCAGGCATTTTCTTCCTTTCTCGTTACATCTCTCTGTATGTTTGTTTACCATTATTTCTGCAATACAATTCATGAAAACCCTGTAGATGGCACTCAGGAGAAAGGAAAGGTTTCTGTGAACTGCACTGACCTCTAGTGCTTCAGCTCCTCTCAGACCGTTCTGTGGCCTCTGTATTTCCCTGAGATATAGGAGGGCCTCTGAAGATAGGCAGGTCAAGAATTTTAGTGAGGAGCATAATTATCCAGAATGTGTGTTATAATGGGCTTCCCAGGTGGTGGTAGTGAGGAGTGCAGGTGCATCTCCTGCCAATGCAGGAGATGCAAGAGACACAGGTTCCATCCCAGGGTGGGAAAGATCCCCTTAAGGAGGAAATGGTAACCCACTCCAGTATTCCTCTGGCTGAAAAATCCCATGAGCAGAGGAGCCTGGCAGACTACAGCCCACGGGGTCGCAAAGAGTTGCACAGACCTGAGCACATTCCACAGGAAGATATTTGTGACCCATCTCAGAGACTTAACAAGCCTGGTCTTTGCTCCAAGACTGCAGTTTTGCAGACTCCAAGGTGCTTTGGTGCAGGTCTCCATTACACTAAAAAAAATATTGCCTTAATGTCTAGGCTTGCTGTCCTTAATATCACCTAGTAAAGCAGCCTTGACACTGCTCACTCACGGCTCCACACCGTAACTGAGGCCCTGGCGTTGCATTTGGTTTACCCGTGGGGAAATGCACATCTATTCTGTATACAGTGAGGTGAACACCGATGAAGGCAAACATCTTGTGTAACAACGCCCTGTCAAAATGCACAACATGTTTCCTGTGTGCATCAGTGTCCATTCTATAAAACGGTCGCGTCCTCCACCATTGCCCTACCTGCGTGAAGAACGCAAGCCATAGCCGTCACGCCCGGGAATCATACTGCAACCTTCCCAGTGCACACCTAGAAACGGCCGGTGGGCGTGACTGGGGCACCACGTTGCCAATCGGCGCCCGGCTTGTTGATGGGTGTCAAATGCCGGTCGCTGATTGGCCGTGGCAAACCAGGCCTCTTCCTCTTAGCCTCACGCTGTCTGGACATTGCATCACCCGGCCAAGACGCAGACTCGTTTCTTTCAGAGCTGCGCCGTCCTGGAGGCCGCTAAGGTACGGTCGGTCCTGCTCGTGGGGCCCCTCGGGTACTCCCTGTCCTGCCCGCGGGGCTCCCCAGGTCACCTTGTCCTGCCCACGGGCCCCTCAGATACGCCCCTTCCTGCCCACGGGGACCCACGGTCCCCTCTGGTTCACAAGAATTTTTTTCAATGTTTATTGGGGGCCATGGGTTAGTACGTGCATATCCGTTTCCAAGGAAAAGATTGGGAGACGGTCTAAATGGTGCGAAAGAGTCCAACCAGGTACCAGTACTGGCTCAGCGGTTCGACCGAGCATTACAAACCTTGCAAGTTACTCAGCTTCAGCCTGGGATCCTGGTAGCTAACATTTGAGCCGTTGAGTGATTGAGAGAATTTAGTGTGATCGAGCTTACTGGAGAAGTTCAGATGGTGGCGAAATTACTTGAAAGTCTAGGTATTCATAAGAACACATCAAATCTTAAGTTCCCATAATGAGCGTGTATTGCTGGGTGTCTGTGATTAGAGGGAAGTAAGCACAGCGTCTCCCGTGTAACAGTCTTTAAAACCGTAATCCAAGGGCCCAGATGAGGACCGCTTCTTCGGTGGGAGAAGAAGGCTACTCAGGAACCGCAGTGGATTTAGCCCTGAAAATGAATAGTAACTGGAGGAGTAGGTGCAGAGAACTGTAGTATAATGTAGAAAAGGATTTTACGTTGTACGTGATTCAGGAGATGGGGAGTTGCTATATTCACTGTAGCTTCGTGGTGAGGAACAAGTGGGAGACGATGCTTAACTTCCAGCCTTATGAATTTATGATTTTCTTCTTTAGTGAAGTGGTGTTTCAAATGAATCCACGAAAGAAGATGAGTTTTTTTTATTAGGTGGGACAATATTAGTTTTTGCCTTCATTCAGGAGTTGCAGAGAAGAAAGGCAGGATGAAACTAGAGGCAAAGCAATTGGTTGAGAGATTTTAGTAAATAAGATGAGCTTTTAAAAATTATCGGTAAAATAGTGGACTAAGTATCCTTTTCATAAGTAATTATTAAAGAGTGAATTATAGGGAACAGGAGGCAGCTCAATGTAGATTGCACTCTAATTCTTTTTGGGAAGATGGTTTAGTGACCGGGCAAAGGCAGGAAGAGTAGCATTTGTGGACAAAGAAATAGTAATAGTTTCCATAGGTGGCAAGTGATGGCTGTGATTTCACTTAATCTTAAATTAGCATTGCGAGTATTTACAACCTTTATTTTACAGATGATGGAATTGAGGTTTAAAGGTTGAATAACTTTTCCTATAAGCCACATACTAAGTTGTGGCACCAAAACTGTCACATTCCAAAGCCAACCCTCTTAATCATCATTCCTGCCAAGAGGAGCCCATGGAGTGGGATAGATTGGAAAATCAGTTGGGAGGAGTATCACTAAGGATGCTGACAAAGGGATTCGTTTAAATATTTTTGAGCACCTATGCTGTGTAAGTACACAGTGAGACACAAAATAGTAAGAGGTTAGTGAAATGCTTTTGCCAGCAACAAGTTTGCAGTTGAATTGGAGAGACATGGGGCATGCAATATAAATAAACCTTGATGTGTGGGAGAGGAACAGATTCTGGGGAGGGGGATATTTAATTTTGAAGAAGGTGGATTGGTAAATTCCCATAGAGCAGAGTACATTTATGCTAAGTAGTGCTAGAGTACTTAAGAGAAAAGGCCTGAAACTGGAAAGCAGTTATGTCAGCCGGAAGTTTTGTTTCTCAGCAGTGTCTAAGAATGTGGTATAGTTCGGAGCTTGAGTTTTGTAAGAGTAAAGGAAAGGTCAGGAGCAAGAATTGTAGGTAAGATCGTGCCCCAGTGAAAAGCCTGAACAGAAACCATTGGGAGTAAGGAACCACTGGATTTTTTTTTTTTTTTTTAATACAGAAATGTACTTTAGTAGAGAAATGGTACTTCCAGAACTTTTCCACTAGGAAGGTGGTGTGCAGGATGTATGTATTTATTTTTCTCTTGTCGTGTCCAACTCTGTGCGACCTTATAGACTGTAGCTTACCAGGCTCCTCTGTCCATGGAATTCTCCAGGCAAGAGTACTGGAGTGGGTAGCCATTCCCTCCTCCAGGGGATCTTCCCTACCCAGGGATCAAACCTGGGTCTCCCATATTGCAGACAGATTCTTTAGTTTCTGAGCCACCAGGGAAACCTGATAAAGTTAATGACATACTCAAAAATAATCAAAACAGAGTAATATGAAGTAAATAAAAATCTGTTCCTTCACACTTTCCTCATTGTATCCTATTCTCTGGTGGTAGCCATTGTTAAATTTGGTGGGTAACCTTCTAAATTAAGTACAGAATTGCTTAAACATAGACTTAGTATATATTTGTATATTTTCTAATCACTTGAAAATAATGCATATAGTATAAATTACTATCAGCAACTGTGACTCACTGGTTTTCAGTATGTTTAATATGTATGCTTACATATTTTGGTTTATTATTTTTACTGCCTGCATGGTATTGATGTACCATAATTTATTTTAGTCTATTACTTATTCATGGGTATTTAAATTGTTTTCAGATATTTGTCTATAGAAGTGCTTCCGTTGATATCTTTATACATATTTTACACATTTGCGTAAGTATATCTCTGGCTTGCTGCTGCTGCTGCTGCTGCTAAGTTGCTTCAGTCGTGTCTGACTCTGTGACCTCATAGCTGGCAGCCCACCGGTCTCCTCTGTCCCTGGGATTCTCCAGGCCAGAATACTGGAGTGGGCTGCCATTTCCTTCTCCAATGCATGCCTTTCTGGCTTATATGTTAATAAGATATAAGTTATTTTTAAAAAGGCTGGAGATGGACCCACCACTGGGGTTAAATTTGACTTAATGTAGCAGGTTATGAAGATCTGGGAATGAGAAAGACGGAATAGAGAAATAGACTGAGAAGTAAAACCCATGTAACTTGGTGATCTGTTGGATGTGGGGATCATCTGGTAGTATTAAAGGTGACTCAGAAATTTCAGATAAGGGGAAGAAATAGTGGAACTACTAAAACAGTGATATTAAAAATGGGAACAAGTGTGGTAAAGATCATGAGATTTATTTTTAAATTTTTTTGGTGTGCTTTTCCAAGATATGTTGAGGTAACCACAAGTAAAGGTCAAAAAGGGTATCTAGAAATTGCTGAAGAGGATGTTGAGGCTAAAGAGGTCAGAAGGAGTCATGGACTAGGGAAGATAGTGGAGACCTTGAATTATAGTTAAAAGGAAGAAAAGGAGATTGCTTCCCTGAGCATGACCGGTAAGGTTAATCCCCCTCCTCTTTCTGCACCCACTTTCACCCAGAAGCCCTGTGGTTACTGGATGCTGTTGTGCAGGTACAGCTCTCCAGTGGATGTGAGGGGCCAGAGCAATCCTGTGATATATGCATGGAGGCTGTTTCTCCTCAGCAGCCGCCATAGCCCGGTCACTGATACAGGACGCTTCCTGGGATAGTCAGTGCCATTACATGGGGTCTTTGTGTTTGGCCTAATAATGCAGTGGTTCTTAATCTTTGGAGATGTAGAGGCTCACTGGAAATTTTATAAAACTTTAAAGCCATCTTCACAGAAAGCTTAACTCATTTTCTTTAAAAAAAAAAAAAAAGGAAAAATGTTCAGATAAATGAAATAGCAGAACAGTTTAAGAGGAGGACTTAAATTGTGATGTGCATGCTAATCCCCTCAGGTCTTGTTAAAATGTAGATTTGGATTCCTTAATCTGAGGAAGGGCTTGTGAGTCTACTCCAGTCAACTTTTATAGATGCTGGTAATAATAGGACCAGCCTTGACAAGCATTAAGAGTGACAGATGTAAATGTGTTGATATCTGAAGATCTGTTAGTCTTCAGATATTACCTCTTTAAGTTTCAGCTGGCCTCTAATAAAGTTGTCACTGATCCAGTAGGACTCCTACTACATCAGTAAATGCACAGACTTTAACTCCTCTCTCCATCCTTGAAAGGCTGTGAGTTATGACAAGAGCTGAAGATCCAAAGTGCCTTTCAACTTCTGTTTGATGACATGTAATGGCACAATCTGGGGTTTCCCAGGTGGCACTAGTAGTAAGTGTGTATCCTGCCTGCCAATGCAGGATACATAAAAGATGCAGGTTCAGTCTCTGGGTTGGGAAGATCCCCTGGAGGAGGGCATGGCAGCCCACTCCAGTATTCTTGCCTGGAGAATCCCATGGACAGAGGAGGCCTGGCAGGCTACAGTCCATAGGGTCGCACAGAGTTGGACATGACTAAAGTGACTTTGCACGCACATACGCATGTAAATGGCTTACTCTAATCAGAAAATGGATAGTTGAGTTAAATGGCACACATGTTCTTTCCTTATTTTTTTCCTATATAAAACTCATAGGCACGCTCACGTCTCAAAAATGAATGAAGGAGGGACAAAAGGAGAAATACTGCTTGTAACAAACTTTAAAAACAACTTTATCTGATGTTAAAAATATTAATTAAACCGATCACTCATTTCCGTGTGTGACTCAGACCTCTGTGGCATAAATCTCATTTTCTATAGATTTTCACTTATGTGCAAAATCAGTATCCTTTTGATTTTTTAATCCCTTGTCTTGGCTGCCAGGAAGCTCATAGTTATATCTTGAATCGGTGTTGCTAATTTAGACCAAGAATCTGCATGATTTAAATTTTCCCTGATCTTGAATTTCCATATAATTTTAATTAAATTCCATAATTTTATTTTTAATCAGTTTGTGTATTTGCCATTTCATGGTTAGTCCTTTAGTTAGTCTCTTCACATTCTCTGTCAAATAAAATAGAATAAAAATGTGTTAACATAGTAAGGACTAGATCTTTGAAATTCCATAATTTCTACCATTGCTTTATATATGTAGCTTTTTTTTTTTTAAATAAAAAAAAATTTTTTTATGGCATAGTTCAGTTATGGTGCTTAGGCTTTGATTTTTCAGAATTGGTTGAAGTATGTCAGTTTCTGTGCTTCTAGAGTCAATTATCTCAGATTGTTATTTGAGTTCTTAACAAATTTTTCTCATTATTAGAGTTCCTGTCCCACTGTAATCTGATGTTGGCTTGGAAATCTGGTCACCAACCTTATTAAAATTATAAAGTGAGAATAAATAGGCTTTGAGGAGAAATGGGCTCAAGGATGCCCACTAGATAGTTAAACTACTAAATAGTTAAACCCAGACTGATCAGGTATTTCTGAATGAGGTTGTTAACTTCTGAAAAAGACACTAAGACCTCTCAGTCGGCACTAAATCAGAGAGGCATGGGATTTGTCCTTTACAAAAATCATGAGTAAGTAACACAATTGGTAAAATGTAAAATTAAAATAATCTTGGAATTATTTGAATGTAATTCTTATCTTTTTAGCTTTAACATTTTTTAAGGTTTTGCCTGTTTGCCTCAGAAAAATTTGGTTGATTCAACAGAAGTACTTTATGTCTTATGAATGTAGGTAAGAATTTTTACCTACTTTGAGATTTATTTTTTCAGATTATTAATGAATTTTTAGTATCATTACAATTGGCAAGGTTTTCTTTTCTTTTAAGAAATGTGTTGTCTGCAGTTACTAAATGTTATATTGTAGTTGAATAAATGAGTGTGAATTGGACATAAATTTTGAAATTTAAAAGTACCATATGTTTTTACTTAATATTATATATAAAAATAACTCAAGATGGATCATTGACCTAACTGTAAGAGCTAAAACATCACAACCTTGTTGTCTGTAGTGATTTCTTAGGAATGAAACTAAAAGTTCAAGTAACAAAACCAGTAAATAAACTGAACTTCACCAAAATTAAAAGTGTTCATGATTCAAAGAATATACCATGAAGAAAATAAGAAACAAGCTATGGAATGGGAAAATTTCTTTGCAAATCCTGTAACTGATAAGGGGCTTGTACCTAGACTGTATAAAGAATTCTCACAATTAAGCAGTAAAAAGACAGTCCAATTAAACAGTAGGCAAAAGATGAACAGACATTCTCCAAAGAAGTTATAAAATGACCAATAAGCTCAGCATCACTATCAGCATCACTAATCATTAGGGAAATGGAAATCAAAAGCACGATAAGATACTACTTTATACCACCTAGGATTTCATATAATCCAAAGTTGGACAATAAGGAGTGAGGATGTAGAAAAACTGGAATCTTATTCTCTGCTAGGAGAATGTAAAATGACACAGCAGCTTTGGAACACATTTTGGCAGTTTCTCAAAAAGTTGAACACAGTTAGCCTAACCCAGCAGTTGCACTCCTAGGTATTTACCTAAGAGCTGAAAACTTATGTCCACATAAAAACTGCCCTGTCCAAAAGTGAAAACAATGCTAATGTCCATGAACTGAGGAATTAATAAAGAAAAAGTGTCATATCTGTAAAATGAATTATTATTCAGCCATAAATGAAAAATGAAGTATGAGTACGTGTTACAACATGGATGAACCTTGAAAACATAATTCTAAGTAAAAGAAGCCAGACCCAGTAGTCTGTATGTACGTAATTTCATTATGTGAAATGTCCAAAATAGGAAGATCTAGAGAGGAGGCAGACAGTCACCAGATAGTGAAGAAGAGGAAGGAGAATGACTGCTAATGTTGACAGTTTTTTGGAAAGCTGAAGAGGAGGGAGTAGTGATGAAAATGTTTTGGAATTAGAGAGTGGTGGTGGTTGCACAGTCTTGTGTATATACTTTAAAAAGAAAAAGGCAAAAGTGAATTGTACACTTTAAAAGGGTGAACTTTATGTGAACTTTACCTTTAAAAAGTTTAATGTACCATGTAGTATCATTGCTAGTGATAGGAACATTCATTTTAATGTATGGTACTCTGTTATTCCTAGACTTCTCCTTTGAGAATAAAAAATTTGATTTCTCTTGCAGTGACAAAAATGGTTCAGCAGGTTCCAGAAAACATCAATTTTCCTGCTGAAGAAGAGAAAATCTTGCAGTTTTGGTCCGACTTTAATTGTTTCCAGGAATGCTTAAAGCAATCAAAACATAAGCCAAAGTATGTGAATTTCTTTGGTAAAGGTATAGTCTAAAAATAATCATTTCTCAGAATCTCCTACCTCTTTATATATCTCAGTAGTAGATATATGTTGAATGAATGAGCTTTTAACTACTAGAGTTTCTTATTAATTAGTTTATTAATTATTAATTAGTAATAACTATTGATAATTATCTTATTAATTAGTTTCCATTTCTTATTGAGGTCTTCCAAACAGTTTATATGTCAAGTCTCTTCCTTTCCACTTTTCTTATTATCACCATTCTCATTTAATCATTTAGACAAGTAGTGTAGTAGCTTTCTATTGGGGTTCTTCCTACCTCTAGTCTTTATTCACCTAAAAACCAGTCTTTTTTTTAATTACTGTTTTTCTCATGTGTCTCTTCTGCTCAAAAAACCTTAGAATAGGTGTTTTTTGCCCTATTTTATAGATGATCTAACTTACAATCAGGATGAATAGTTTCCTTTAGATCATAGAACTAATACATGAAGAATGGATGGTCTAATGCAGGTCTCTCCAAATGGTCATATTTAGCCTTTTTGAATACAAGGCCTCCAGTAGACATCTAATCAGTTATGTCTGAGTTTCCTAGCCTTGCAGCTTTTCTTCTCGCCAAAGACACTACTGTTACCGGAGCTGTCTCTAGTAAAATGCTGTCTTAGTTTTTGCTGTCTATTTTAAAGTAACAACAAATTTTTCTTACCTCTTAGATTTACCTTCTATGATGGGCCTCCTTTTGCAACTGGACTGCCTCACTATGGGCATATACTTGCAGGGACAATTAAAGATATAGTTACAAGATATGCTCACCAGAGTGGGTTTCACGTTGACAGAAGATTTGGTTGGGATTGTCATGGTTTACCTGTGGTATGTTTGAGTTATCAGCTGTATTATGTTCTGATATTTTAAAATAAGCATTATGTTTCAATATATAATATGTTAAATTATGAATTTTTGCTATAATCAGATATTCTTCAACCTTATTTCTAATAATACTATGTATAGTTCATTTTCTCTATAGATTTTCTGAGAACTAACTTTTTAAAATCCCTTTTATTTTCTAGCTTTGTTGAATTGCTTTTATTTCATAGTCAGGGATGTTAACAATCTTATTGCAAATTTTCAGGAATACGAAATTGATAAGACCCTGGGAATCAGAGGACCAGAGGATGTAGCCAAATTGGGAATTGCAGAGTATAACAGTCAGTGCCGAGCAATTGTGATGCGATACTCTACTGAATGGAAGGTATAATTGGTTGTTTTAAGTAAAATTTTTTTTAGAAACTAGTTTTTAAAATGGAGTTGAAATACTTTATGATCGTTTGTGCTTTTTATGACATGCACCCAAGGTTGACTATCCTCTTTAAAGGACTGTTTAGCTTCCATCTTCAACTTCATTACCTAAACTGTTAAGCTGAACCCTCTTTTTTCTGATTTCTATGTTCGTGATTGATCTTCCAAATTTAATCTCCTACCTACCCACAGTGTATGACAGGAATCATGCTATCCTAGCAAACAGATTAACTTGAATGTTGCAATTTTAAAATTGAGATGTTAAAAATAATTCACATTTGAACTGGTTGTTATATTAGCTTGATTCCCATCTTGCCCGCTGCTTTTCTAGTCAGAGAGCTCCCATAGCTGATTCATTTAAGTATAATAACTGTCAAGTCTGGCAGAGGTCTTGTCTTCTCTTAATTCTGATGGGCTTAGAAACAAAGGTCTTCAACTCCCCCTTTCCTCCCTGCCTCTCAGATTGTTGTACAACGGTACAGATTCCTGTACAATGCAAAAACATATCTGGCTTTTATTTTTTTCCATCTTCATGATCTTACCACTTTTTCAAATTTGCTGTTCCTACCAGTGGTATCAGTCTTCCAGACTTCAAATTTTAGTCATCATGACCTGTTCAAATGTCACAAACCTTTCTTAATATCTCTTATCTAGACATTTCTTTCCATTCCTACAACCTAGTCTTTCGGCCACCATTGTCTTCATTTCTATAACAATCTAATAATTGGTCTCTTGCTCATGTTCTTTCTACTTAACTTGCCAAGTTATTTCTCTCAAGACTGTTTATTATGCTTTTTCTGCTCAAAACTTATTTTTATTGTTTAATGAAATTTGATTTCACAAACCTAAAAATCAAAGCTCCATAATTTTCTCCTAACCTAACTTTCCTGAATCTACCTTTATTGCTTGGTCACTAATAGGGGAAGGTCCTGATGGTTGTAATATACATGTGGGCTGTTTTTTTCCCCCCAAAATACTATAAAGAGCCTCTATACCAAACACCCACTTCCCAAAAGCTAACACCTTTAATGACTATGGTATAATTATCAAAATCAGGAAATTAACATTGATACAATATTATACACCTATTCAGATTTAACCAGTTGGCCACTAATTCTTATTTCTGATGCAAGATCCAGTCTGGGAATACAGATTTCATTTAGTTGTATCTCTGCAGTCTCCTTCAATCTGGAACATTCCTTTAGTCTTTTGTCTTCATGACCTTGTCGCCTTTTAGAGAAAACAGAAATTCCCTCAGTGTCTGATACTTCTTCATGATTCAGTTTAGGTTATACTTTTTGGGCAAAATTGCCTAAGAAGTAACATCAAGCCCTCTTAGTCTGTCATATCAGAAGGCACGTGGTGTCGATATGTCTCATTGGCGTTGTTAATGTTGTTCACTAAGGCGATTCTGTGAAGTTTCTCCATTGTCAAGTTTCGGGTTTTCCTTTGTAATTAGTAAGTACCCTGTTTCTTATCATACTGTGACTCATTAATTTCAGCAACCATTGATGATTCATGCCAGCAACAGTTAGATCTGCAGTGTTTGACATGTGGTAGCTTTGGTAGCCTTTTATGTGTTGTTTACAATATAGATTTACTTGAACCATTGATTGTTCTTCCACAATCATCATATATAATGATGGTAATTGCTATGTAATAACATGTCGTTGTCTAAAAACTCTAATGTTCCTATCTTTTTAATATTCACATGCTCTAAGTCTACTATTACCAGGCTTGGCCGATGGATTGACTTTGACAATGACTATAAAACTCTGTATCCACAATTCATGGAATCTGTCTGGTAAGTTTATTTGACGGTATAAATATGACTGTTTGTTGCATTAGTAGAGAGGTGCTCTAGTATGAATCAGCTTGTTTCATAGTTACCTGAAATCTTTGGGAATTGGTTTGTTTTTTCTTTGTTTTTAAAGACTTAATTTTGCTAGGAACCTAAAAAATGCTCTAAAAAGATAAAGAGAGGAAGATACAGAGATTTCCCACATATTTTGTGCCTCCACACATAGAGAGCCTCCTCTGTTATCAACATCCCCCACCAGAGTGGTACTTTTGTTACAGTTCATGAACCTGTATTGATGGATCATAGTCAATTGAAGTCCAGAGTTTCCATTAGGGTTCCCTCTTCCTGTACATTCTTTGGATTTGGACAGATGTGTGACGACATACTTCCATAATTCTGGTATCATACAAAGTATTTATATTCCCCGAAATTCTACAGTACTATTCATTCCTTCCACCCCTGAATTTATATTTGAATTCAGTATATTTTAGATTCTAAGAAGGTATTAATGATACTTGAATTTTTGATGTGTACTTGAACTTTTTTACTGAGAGAAATTATATATGCAGTCACTGTTTCCTAACAGATTCAAAATTAATTTTGCTTCCTTTAAGTGTAAATAAGAACTGTTGCAATGCCAGTTTAGATAGGTAATTTAACTTGAGCTTCCTACAGTAGTCTGAGAATCATTATATATCATTAGTTTGCAAACAATTATTATGGCTACAGAATGCCCTGTGTACATAACTCAGACCTTGAGGAAGTCCTACTTTTGTTAAGTTATGTATAATTACAGGTGAGTTGCAGAGATCTTTTGTAGGATTCTTTCTTTGGCGGGGATGGGGGTCCTGCACTGAAGTCCTTGTGCTTCTTACTGTCTTCCTGTCTCCCTGATTACATTTCTGTTAGTCAATATCTGTTGCACATGCTTGGCACATGCCCTTTGAGGAGCTAGATATCTAGGGCAGTTCTCAGACCCTCTGACTCTAATGTACCCCTGTGAGTGCATCTCCAGACCCATATATCCAAGGGTGGAAGTTGATTAAATTCTCTGGCAAGGCAGGAACTTTGGAAAGAGGTTCTTCCTATTTCACTGACTAGGTGGAGTTCTCATGACTAGTGCATTCTAAAAAAGCAGGGTTTCTGTTAAATATCTGAAAAAGAAGGTATTCTTTATGCTCCAGATCAGCATTTAAGTATTTAGCACTTAAATGTGGTTAGTATGACTGAGAAACTGAGCTTCTAATTTTAATGAATTTAAATGAACACATATGGCTAGTGCTACCATAGTAGACAGTGCAGCTTTGCATCATACTTCTTTATTTATATTAAAACATACTTCAATCGGGAACATCATTCAAAGCCTCTCAGTATTAGAATGTTAGTTATTGCGGAGGAACATGTTGGCATATAAATAAGGCACATAAACCTGGCGTGAATATAAAAATAGTAGGTGATACATTTTAAATGATAGCGTTAATGGTGATAATGTAGATTGAGTTGGTACTTTTGAGTATATATAAAATACTTCCATATCAATTTTCCTAGATGATTCAGAAAGTCCTGTGACTGGGGTTAGACCCTGTTGGAGGTAAAGGCAAGTGACTGTGATTTGTCGCTGAGATCACTCAGCGAGTTATATGGCTCTTAGGCTTGAATCTGGATCTTAATATCAAATCTGACAGTTCCTCTGGTCTCCTGTGAATGTACTGTGAATCAGAGTCTATAATTTAAAGTTTGAATTTGGGAAATTTTTTACAAGACACCAGGCTTTCAGACTTTATTCAAAGTCAAGGAATACCATGAAAATTTGTGCATAGTTTTTTCACAAAAATGTATTTTACCATATGGGAGAGAATTTAATTCATTTATTGTTCTGAGTACTTAGGACTCAAACTACAAAAATGAGTTAAATAAAGGCAGAATTGAGTAAGGATTCCCACCAAATCCATTCTTGTATCCGTCTAGGAAAGGTGACTAGTACCATAGGAGAACCTGGGATGACTGTTTTGCAGTTTCTTGGTGCACTTAGCTTAAAGCAACATGTTTAAGTATTTAATAAAAATTCTTGACTTACTGTAGGAGAGATATCTGATCCTAATCCCAATTGTTTCTACTTAAGCCTTTGTAAAACTGTCCATTATAGTGAAATTTAAGCAATACACCAGAAAAGTATGAAGAAAAACAACCTAAAATCCCAACTGTAAGTTAACACTTTGGTGGAAACCTATTTTTTTTAGAATCTCTAAAAATGTAAATATGTATACTGATATGTACAGTTTTACATAAATGGTACCTCATTGTACAATATGGTGTCAATTGCTTTTCTCAGTCAACATCAAGTCATGAGCATCTTTCTGTATCAACACTTTTAATGTCTATGTTGTTGTTGTTTAGTCTCTAAGTGGTGTCTGACGCTTTGCGACACCATGGACTGTAGCCTGCCAGGCTCCTGTGTCCATGGGATTCACCAGGCAAGAATACAGGAGTGGATTATTGTTTCCCTCTCCAGGTTTAATGTCTACATAATATTGCATTATACTGATCTGTTATAATTTACCAGCTATTCACCAGTTGAGAGACATTGTGTTTCTACTTCTTTGCCTGTCAGATACTCTGCAAATGGAAACTAGACTGGCATAGATGTTTGTATTTGGGAAAACAGAATTTTGGTGATGTAATTTTTGAAAAATTCTTTCTCTTTACTTGTCAGGTGGATCTTCAAACAACTCTATGATAAAGGCCTTGTTTATAGAGGTGTGAAAGTCATGCCCTTCTCCACTGCGTGCAATACTCCCCTCTCCAACTTTGAATCTCACCAGAATTACAAGGTATGTGAGATGGCATTGGACATTAAGTTATGTAATCAGAAGTTAAATGGTAACTTAGTCCCAGTGTGGAATGTTAAGCCTGGGGAGTGATGTAAATGATGTATCTTAATGTGATGTGTGTACATGTGCTCTTACTTTTGTCTGACTCTCTCTGACCTCATGGACTGTGGCCTGCCAGGCTCCTCTGTTCATGGAATTTTCCAGGCAAAAATATTGGAGTGGGTTGCCATTTCCTTCTCCAGGGGATCTTCCCACCTAGGGATCAAACCCATGTCTCTTGCTTCTCCTGCATTGGCAGGCAGATTTTTATGAACTGAGCCACTGGAGAAGCCCTCGGCTGGTCTTAATAGATAGATTTTGATTGATAGATTTTGCTTATTTTAACCATGTTTTTATGCCTCTCTTTGTTTAATAAGTCCAGCTCTGCTCTATTTTCCTCAAGTCACTGTTTCATAAGGCTTATTGCTTAGGATTATTTTATGCCTCATCTAAGACCTTGTAATATCATTTATTTGTTAAAAGTATTTGAAAGAAAATCTGATTTGCCATTGGTGATGTGTTACGATCTTTGCTTTGATGAATGAAATAACTTGCTGCCTTTGGTATAAGAATTTAAACATGTCTGATATTTACACAGTGTACTTTGTTCAGTCATTTAGTCCTGTCCAGCTCTTTGTGACGCCAAGGACTACAGCACACCAGGCTTCCCTGTCCTTCACCATTTCCCAGAGCTTGCTCAAACTCATGTCCATTGAGTCGGTGATGCCATCCAGCCATCTTGCTCTCGGTCATCCCCTGCTCCTCCTACCTTCAATCTTTCCCAGCATCGGGGTCTTTTCTGCTGAGTCAGCTCTTTGCATCAGGTGGCCAAAGTATTGGAGCTTCAGCTTCAGCATCAGTCCTTCAAGTGCATATTCAGGGTTGGTTTCCTTTAGGATTGACTGGTTTGATCTCCTTGCAGTCCAAGGGAGTCAGTGTACTGCTTTACCTTATCCAGAGAGATAGTAAAAACTGTAAGTCTTTAGAAATAAGAGGTATCTGTTCTCACATGTTTGTATTCAAGTAGTGGTTTTTTTTCTGATGTTACTTAACATCTTGTCCTCTTTGTTTTTAAAGGACTTTGATTTGTTCAGAATTCTTATTTCATGACTTAGGCTTGGAAATTATTAAAACTTGCACTTCAGATGCATTTTCCATCTTAGAGAATGCTTTCAACATCTCATTGGATTGTTCATAGGGACTCCTATTATTAAATTTTTTAAATAAAATATATTAAACACATAAAAATGTAGAGATTAATATAATAACTATTGAGTACCAAAGACTTAAACTTTTTCAGATCTGAATATATTGCTGTATTTTCTTCCTTCTTAAAAACACTTTAATGTGAAGAATTTCAAGCATGCACAAAAGTAGACAATAATTAGCTAACTCTCCTGTGCCTATCATGTATCCCCAACAGTCTCTATAGCCAGTCCTGCCCCATCTACACACTTCATTTATTTCTCCCAGATGCTTTTTCAAAAGCAAATTATAGACATGTCATTTTATTGATAAGTAATCCATTATGTACCTTTAATAAATTAATCTTTCTTTAACATTACCATAGTACTATTGTCACACCTTAAAAAGTCACATCAACCATTTTGAATATTCTTAATGTTAAATATTATGCAGTTGTTTAACTGCTGGATATCATCAGTGTTCACATTTCTATTTGTCTCATAAATAGCGTCTTTTCCCCCTAAGGTTATTTCTAGTTGTTTGTTTTTTAATCCAGATCTAAGGAAAGTTCATATTCAGTAATAGTTGTCTCTTAGATATTTTTTAATGTGTAGGTCTCCATTTCTGTTTTTGTGTTTTTCTTTTGCTTCCCTCGCCCCCCACCCACCCCCCACCTTTGCAAATCTGGGAAAGTCTGGGAAACAAATCTGCAATGTCTGGGAAACTGGTGTTGCTTTGTAGAGTTTCCCATGATCTGTGTTTTAATGATTACAACTTCATAATCTGATTTAACATTTTCTCTGTCCTCTGCATTTTATAAATATAAGTACTTTGTTTCTGTGTTTGTTTTTTTCTTTGTATATAATAGAGGTCAGTATTTGTTTTTTTTATTTGGACATGCATAGATCTTAAGCATACCAAGTAATGGGTTGCATTAGGGAATTCCCTGGCAAATCGGTGGTTAGGACTCTGAGCTTTCACTGCCGAGGGCACAGGTTTTGTCCCTGGTCTTGGAACTAAAATCCTGCAAGCCCTGTGGCATGGCCAAAAAAATTAAAAATAAAATTGGTTGCACTAAATGCATCTATTTTTTTCAAATATGTCAGCTATTACAGGTAACTGTTGATTAGTTTTGTCTGATTCTGTACTTTGAAGAAATGGGAAGATATACTATGTATTCTTTTCTTTCTGGCTTTTCTCTCTCAGCATTGCTTGTGATAGTCATCCATGTTTTGTAGAGTTATGGATCTTTTGTTCTAATTACTGTGTAGGTTAAATCTACCACAGTTTGTTTATTTATACCACCTTTCTCTTTTCCATTTCTTTCTTTATATCCTGATAGGTAACCACTATGCTGAATTTGGGGTTTCTTAATTATGCATATTTTTATGTTTTTACTATATACATAAGTATTTATTTACAGTATATACTGTTTTTATATATGTTTTTGAGTATCATCCATTGTTCTTATTTGGAACCTTGCCTTTTAAAATAAACATTATCTTTTAAAATTCCTTCTTATTTATACATGTAGCTTTAAGTTTAATTTTAACTGCTGTTTTTTGAGCTGGTTAGATAGCATCACTGACTCGATGGACGTGAACTTGGGCAAACTGTAATAAATAGAGGGGGCAGGGAGACCTGATGTGCTGTATGAGCTCACAAAGAGTCAGACACAAGTTATCGAATGAACAACAATGTAGCAGTGATCCCCAGCCTTTTGGTTTTGTGGAAGATGGTTTTTCCACAGACCAAGTAAGGGGATGGTTTGGGGATGATACAAGCACATTACATTTATTGTGCACATTATTTCTGTTATTATTACATCACCTTTAGTTTTTAGCTTATTTAACTTATATGCAGAGTACATCATGCAAAATGCCAGGCTGGATGACCTACAAACTGGAATCAAGATTGCCAGGGGAAATATCAATATCCTCAGATATGCGGGACACCACCCTTACGGCTGAAAGTGAAGAAGAACTAAAGAGCCTCGATGAAAGTGAAAGAGAAGAGTGAAAAAGTTGGCTTAAAACTCAGCATTCAAAAAACTAAGATCATGGCATCCAGTCCCATCACTTTATGGCAAATAAAAGGAGAAACACTGGAAACAGTGGCTTTCTTTATTTTTCTGGGCTCCAAAATCACTGCAGATGGTGACTGCAGCTGTGAAATTAAAAGACTCTTGCTCCTTGGAAGAAAAGCTATGACCAACCTAGACAGAGATGTTACTTTACCAACAAAGGTCTGTCTAGTCAAAGCTATGGTTTTTCCAGTAGTCATGTATGTGTGTGAGAGTTGGACTATAAGGAAAGCTGAGTGCTAAAGAATTGATGCTTTTGAGCTGTGGTGTTGAAGACTCTTGAGAGTCCCTTGGACTACAAGGAGATCAAACCAGTCCATTCTAAAGGAAATCAGTCCTGAATATTGGAAGGACTGATGCTGAAGCTCAAGCTCCAATACTTCGGCCACCTGGTGCGAAGAACTGACTTATTTGAAAAGACCCTGGTGCTGAGAAAGATTGAAGGCAGGAGGAGAAGGGGATGACAGAGGATGATATGGTTGGATCCATCACCAATGCAATAGACCTGAGTTTGAGTAGGCTCCGGGAGTTGGTGATGTACAGGGAAGCCTGGTATGCTGCAGTCCATGGAGTCGCAGAGTCAGATCTGACTGAGCGACTGAACTGAAGTGAACTGATTACATCACCTCCACCGCAGACCTTCGGGGATTGGATCCCAGAGGTTGGGGACCTCTGCTGCATGTGTGTGTGTGTTCATTTGCTTCCAGCTCTGTGACCCCATGGATTGTAGCCCACCAGGCTCCTCCGTCTGGAATTTTCCAGATGAGAATCCTGGAGTAGGTTGCCATTTCCTCCTCCAGGGAATCTTAGGAATCCAGGATTCGGACCCAGGGATCAAACCCCCATCTCTTACATCTCCTGGACCCTTTCATCTAACAAATAGGTTACAGTTTATCTATTCATTCTTTTGATAGATGTTTGAATTGTTCAGAGAACTAGGGTTTTTTTTTTTTTTTTCTTTTTTCAAATGGTAACAGTGTTGTTCCAAACATTTTGTAATACAAATCCTTGTGTACTGTGCTGGAGTTTTCTTTGGTAACTAAATTTTTACATGTTAGTTTCCTATAGTAGTTTGGTTCTAGACTTTTCAAAGTTTATACTCATCTATAAGTAAATAGATACATTTTCTTATTGGGAAAGAGCAAGCTGTAGGGAAGTAAATTGAGTTAATGAAGAAAATCCTTCCAGACTTCTCAAAAGATAACTGAGCATACACACACAAACTAAATGATGATATATAAAAATACTTATTTTTTATATTGTCTTAATTTTTAGTTTCTAGAAGTCTGGTTGATGTGATTGTTTATGAAGCTTATGCTCATTGTGGAAAATTTAGAAGCCATAGAAGATATTAAGAAGAAGGAGAAAATTATAATCCCAGTACCCAAAGGAAATCACCATTAATGTTTTATTTTAAGTTTTCCTTTAGTGGCTTTATTATTTTTTAAGTTTTTTATGTTCATTACTATATATATTAAAATTAATATTTGTATACCTTAGTACCTATTTCCTGACTTCCTAAGACAGCATTTTTTTTGCTCTTCCATTTCCTTGCTCTATTCCATATACTTGTACAAAATGAATGTATATTTGAAGCCAGTGCCCCGATAAAGTTAAGAAGGAGCCTGATCAAGTAATCTATCAAAAGCTCTCCCTTCTCATGGCCCTTTCAGTTTAGTTTGTATCACCCTACTCCTTTGTAGTTACTACTGCCCTCATTCCAACCTCATTGCTCACTGATTCTTTGCTAAATATGAATACAGTTGTACAGTTTGTTCTTTTTTGTCTGTCCGACTTCTTTTTCTCAAGATTGTGTTTCTGGAAGTCATCCGTGTTGTGTGTAGTTGTAGATCATTTTAGTTACTGCCAAGTATTTAGCTTATCTATTCTAATGGCTAAATTCATTTATTTATGTGGCTGTGTCAGGTCTTGGCTGTGGCATGTGAGGTCTTTTTTTGAGGCTCACAGACTACCTAGTTGTGGCTCATGGGCTTCAGTAGTTGCCAAGTGGGCTTAGTTGTTCCATGACATGTGGGATCTTAGTTCCTGACCAGGGATTGAACATGCTTCCCTGGCATTGCAGGACAGAGTCTTAGCCACTGGACCACCAGAGAAGTCCCTATCCCTTCTAATGTTGATTGCCATTTGGGTAATATCTAGTTACTGGCTGTTAATGAATATTCTAGAACTTGAGTTTTGGGGAGTGTATATAAACATTTCTATTGCTTACATTCCCAGGAGTGGAATTATTGTGTCATAAGATATACTTACATTTAGCTCTAGTACTAGAGTTGGCAAACTTCGTAAACGACCAGATAGTAATTATTTTAGACTTTGTAAGCCACATGGTCTGTCAGTCCTGTCAAAACCATTCTTAGCTCTTGGGCTGTACACAAAACTGGTAGTGGCCAGGTTTGACTCAAGGACTATAGTTCATTGTCTCCCACTCTTAAAGACTTTTCCAAAGGGGTTATACTGATTTATACCTCCACTAGACTGTTAAGATTACATTGCATCCTTGCCAACACTTAGTATTTTCTTTCTTTTTTTTTTTTTTTGCTTTGGTCATGCTTTAATTGTGTACTAAGGATTATTTTGGACATAATTTCAGATTTCCTGAAAAGTTGAAAACACAATTCTCAGTGAAATTTTTATTAATATATTTTTGAATAAATAATAGCTGTTTTCCAAAATGGTTATTTTATTGACTCTTTATGGACTTTATAAAATAGATCATTGTAATAGTGAAATCTCCATTATATATCCCTCTTGATAAACTTTAAGTATTTTAGTTGTGACTACTAAGGTAATTATTAAAGCATTTCTTTATATAAAAATGTATTTGGAATTTCCTGCTTTGTGTTTTCTTCTTACAAATATGGCAGATTTTTTTTTAAAGCTCAGTTTATTCTGAAAATCAAATTATTGTATTCTTTAGGATCAGTTCCTTTTTCTTGCAAGTCTGCTATTATGAATTTTATTAAAGAATATTTTATCTAATTTGATTTCAGGATGTTCAAGATCCTTCAATATTTGTAACTTTCCCTTTGGAGGAAGATGAAAATATTTCTCTGGTTGCCTGGACAACTACTCCCTGGACTCTTCCTAGTAACCTTGCCTTGTGTGTTAATCCCGACTTGCAATATGTGAAGATTAAAGGTAAGTGTGAGCCTCGTTCTTTATGATTGATATGAATAAAATAATTTTAATGCATGAAAGCTGACATTTCTTTCCTTTTTTTTTTTACTTTTTTAATTGAAGTATAGTTGATATACATTGTTAGTTGCAAGCTTCCCAGGTTGCACTAGTGGTAAGGAACACCCCTGTCAGGTAAAGAACCTGCCTGCCAATGCAGGATATGCAGGAGACTTGGGTTTGATTCCTAGGTCAGGAAGATTCCCTGGAGGAGGAAATGACAACCCGCTCAAGTACTGCATGGAGAATCCCATGGACAGAGGAGCCTGGCAGGCTACTGCCATAGAGTTGCAAACAGTCGGACACAACTGAAACAACTTAGTACATATTAGTTACAGGTTTACAGCAAAGTAATTAGATGTTTGTATACATTGGACAATAAACATCACAGTAAGTCTAGTTAACTCCATCACCAGACATACTTACAGAATTGTCTTCTTGTGGCGAGACTTTTTAAGATCTGCTCTCTCAGTAACTTTCAAATATGCAATATAGTGTTAACTGTGGTTGCCATGCTATAAACTTTATCCCCATGCCTTATTTTATAATTGGAGGTTTATACCTTTTGACTTCCCTTACTCATTTTGTCACCCTCTCTTCCTTATATCCTGCCTCTGGTAACCACCAGTCTGTTCTCTGTATCCATGAGGTTTATTTTTGTTGTTTTGATTTTGTTTTTATTCCACAGAAAAGTGAGATGATAAGTGTCTTTTTTAGACTTCTTTCACTTAGCCTGATGGCCTTAACATCTATCCATGATGTTTTAAACAGCAAAATTTCATTCTTTCATATAGCCAAATAGCTTTTCATTATATATATATATATATACATATCAGATTTTCTTCACCATCCATCCACTGACTGGTGGACACAGGTTGTTTCTAAAACTTGGCTATTGTAAATAATGCTACAGTGAACAGGGGTTGCAGATATCTTTTCAAGTTAGTATTTTCATTCTCTTTGTATAAATACCCAAAAGTAAAATGACTGGATCATATGTATTTTTAACTTTGTTGAGTAACTGCCATACTGTTTTCCATAGTGGCTACATCAATTTACATTCCCATCAGCAGTGTACAAAGGTTCTGTCTTCTTCATATCCTTGCCGACACTTGTCTCTTGTGAATAGAGCCATTCCATCAGGTATGAGGTGATACCTTATTAGGGTTTTGATTTGCGTATCCATGATGATTAGTGATGTTGAGCATCTTTTCATGTACGTGTTGGATATCTGTATGTCTTCTTTGGAAAAACATCTATTCAGATCTTCTACCCATTTATTTATTTATTCATTTGCTGTTGCATTGCATGAGTTCTTTATATATTTTTGATGTTAGCCCTTTATCAGATATTTGATATACATATATTTTCTTGCAAGGCTGCGTTTTCATTTTGTTGATTACTTTTGCTATGTGGAAGCTTTAGTGTGAAGTCGTCCCACTTTTTTTTTTTTTTTTTTGCTTCTGATTTCTTTTGTTGTCAGGTCAAAAACAAGCAAAAACATTGCCAAGACCAATGTCAGGGAGTTTATCATATATGTTTTGTGGGGATTTGGTTTTATTTCCCCACATTGAGCAGCATGTGAAACTTCCCCAACTAGGAACAGTGATCAGACCTGTGCCTGCTGCAGTGAAAGTGCAGAGTCTTATCCACTGGACCACCAGGGAAATCCAGTCAGCTATGTTTTCATCTAGGAATCTTAGGGTTTCAGGTCTTATGTCCAAGTCTTTTATTCATTTGTGTTAATTTCTGTATATGGCATGAGAGAGTGATCTAGTTCTCCCAACACTATTTATTGAAGAGACTCTCCATTCCCTATTGTATATTCTTGGCTCCTTTGTTGTAAATGAATTGTCTATATCTGTGTGAGTTTTTTTGAACTCTGTTTTGAACTCTGAACTCTCTGTTTTGTTCCATACTGTTGTGATTACTAGAGCTTTGTAATATAGTTTGAAATAAATAAGTGTTCTGCCTTCAGCTTTGTTCTTCTTTCTCAAGAGTGAATAGACTTTTCAGGCTCTTTTGTGGGTCGATACAGATTTTAAGAATGTTGACTCTATTTCTGTGAAAAATGCCATTGAAATATTGAAAGGAATTGCACCGAATCTAGAATTCTTTGAGTAGTATGGATATTTTAACACTATTAGTTCTTCAAGTCCCTGAACACGGAATTCTTTTCCATTTATTTGTGTCTTCAATTTCTTTCATCAGTGTCTTAAACTTTTCAGTGTCTTGGTCTTTCATTTACTCTTAAGCTTATCCCTAGGTATTTTATTCTTTGTGATACAATTGTAAATGAAGTTATTTTCTCTCTTTATGATAGTTCATTATTGGTGTGTAGAAGTGCAGTGAATTTCAGTATGTTGATTTTGTATCCTACAACTACAGCATTTATTTTTTAGTTCTAAGTTTTTGATGGAGTCCTGGGTTTTATGTATGTACTATCATGTCATCTGAAAATAGTGCGTATTACCTCTTCCTTTCGAATTTGGATTTCTTTTATTTGTTTTTCCTACTTAACTCTTCTGGCTAGGACTTCAGTACTAAAATAAAAATGTCAAGAGTGGGTATCTTTATCTTGTTGATATTAGAGGAAACACTTTCAACTTTTTCCCCATAAATGTGATGTTAGCTGTGGACCTCTCATATATGGCCTTTGTTATATTGAGGTTTATTCCCTCTAAAAGGCATTTTTTAGAGTAATTCTATTTAGCTACAGAGAGAGATTATCATGATACAGTTGAGGTTTTTTTGTTTGTTTGTTTTTTGGCCCTGCCAATGGCTTACAGGATCCCAGACCCAAGGATCAAACCTGGGCCCTGGCAGTGGAAGCACCGTGTCCTAATCACTGTACTGCCCAGGAATTGCCAAGGATGTTGTTACTAGCAAATAGCAAAAAAAAATCCTAACTGCCGGGGTTTGTTGAAGGCAGGACCTGGATAGGTATTGTTTAGGGCTATGCCCTTAATACCCCATTATGTGGAACAAGATAAGTATTCAGTAAATAAACAGACAGTAGATGGGTCACACTAGAAACAGCACACAGTTAATTCATGAAGAAAACTGAGTTGGATACAATGTTAGATAATGTCTAAAATATTTTTAGGAAATTACTTGTCATGCCTAAATGGATTACAGTTTAAAAAATATTGTTTACTTTGATTTTTAAATAGACATCACTATTAGTAATCAGGGCATAATTTAAAGTTATAACTTAATTAACATTCTGCATGTTATATAAGAAAGAAATGTTTACTAAAATAGTAAAGCTGCTGGGGCTGGGAGGTAGCATGAACTCTCTGGTCACATGTCTTATAATCTATTGTTTGGAAATCTGTACTTAGGTATATCATATCACTTGTATGTGCTAATAACCCCAGGAAAATTTGCCTATCAATAAAATTTCTTAGAAACCCAGAAAGCCTCTAAGAAATAAGTGTCTAGTGGTGAATACATAGGTATGGTATTATATACCAAGATACATTTTGAAAGGAGAATCTGATAATGAGTTTCAAACAGCACAACAAAGTCAGTTAGTTTCCAGTATATTTCTAAAACTGAAATAATTTGACTCTTTCTTGAGCAGAGGGACCTTCAAAATGACAATTTTTTTATTGGCAGTTAGCTCATGAGGCACCCACTTAATGAGCTTTTTCTCTTTTCCAATTTGCTTCAAATGCTGAATGACCATAGAATGGTCAAGTCTGAATTCTTGGACAGCTTCTCATGCCGCTGTAAGAGGATCAGCTTTGATGATTGCTCTCAGTTGGTCATTGTCAACTTCCGATGATTGGCCACTATGCTCCTAATCTTCAAAGCTCTTGTTTCCTTTGCAAAACTTCTTGAACAACCACTGCACTGTACATTCATTAGCAATTCCTGGCCCAGATTTGTTGTTGAGGTTGTAAGTTGTCTGTGCTGCCTTTTGAACTGCTGCTTGTTGAACTCAGTTTGAACTCAAATGAGAAAATCTCTCAAATTTGCTTTTTGTCTAACATCATTTCCCTACTCTAAAATAAATAGAGAATAACAGTACCATACATACTGTTTTGATTGCTGTAGCTTTATAGTAGAGTCTGAAGTCAGTGAGCCTGATTCCTCCAGCTCCGTTTTTTGAGATAGCTTGGTTATTTGAGATCTTTTGTGTTTCCATACAAATCTTAAAATTTTTTGATCTGATAAAATACCATTAGTAATTTGATAGGGATTGCATTGAATCTGTAGATTACTTTGGGTAGTGTAATCATTTTGACCATATTGATCCTTCCAGTCCCAGAATGTGGTATATTTTTCCATCTATTTTTGTCACCTTCGATGTCTTTCATCAGTCAAATAGTTTTCAGAGTAAAGGTCTTTTACATCCTTAGGTAGATTTATTCCTAGCTTTTTATTCTTTTTGCCACAATGGTTAAAAAAGAAAAAAAATTACATTTCTTTTTGGAATAAAAATAACGTTTTTAAAAACTATTAGACATAATTGGAAAAACAACCTCGAGCATTTTTCTGACTAAAAAATTAACAAGGTGAAATTAACACAAAAAAATTAACATTATACAGAGAGATGAAAAGTAAAAATTTCTTTAATTTTCAGATTATTGTACCTTTACTCAGAATGCCCAAGAACCTAAGATTCAACGAAGTGGCATATCATTGCTATTAGGAATCTCCAATATATGTTTTCTCAACACTGCCAAACAGTTAAATCAATTTAAGCACTAGCTGTTTGGAGAAGAGTAGGATATCACAGTTTAAGAGCTTAGTCCTACAAGACTACCCTCTGCTACTGCACCCACACTTCAGATATCAGTCATGAGTTCTGGTTGTCACCTGGATTTCTAACCAACCCATGACCTCCTCCTTGGGTCCGAAGAGTAAGTCACAGAACTCAGAGAACGTTGTACTCTTGAGATTACCAGTTAAGTATAAAAAGGGATTGTAAAGGATACACTCAAATGGTCAAGTGAAGTGCATAGAGAGATCTGGAAGGGTCTCAAGTTTCTGTCTCCAGAACTGGGATATACTACCCTCATAGCATGTTTTGTTATCAACAAAAGACACATTTATGGCTCCCATCATTTAATAAATTCTAAGAGATTTAAGAGCTCTGCCAGAATAGGTGGCTCAGTAGGTGAAGAATCCACCTGCAGTGGAAGAGATACTGGCAGACATGAGTTTGAGCTGTGGGTTTGGAAGATCCCGTAGAGGAGAAGACGGCAACCCACTCCAGCATTCTCGCCTGGAGAAGCCCATGAGCAGAAAGGCCTGGTGGGCTGCTGTCTTCAGTCTCAAAGAGTCTGACACAGCTGACGTCGCGACTGAGCAGGCACCATGCCAGAACAGAGACTAAGACCAAATGCATATGTCTTATTATCAGTGAACTAAAATGAACAGGAATGGGAGAATATAATTCAGATGACCATTATATCTATTGCTGTGGGAAGGAATCCCTTAAAAGAAATGGAGTAGCTCTCATAGTCAACAAAAGAATCCAAAATGCAGTACTTGGATGCAGTCTCAAAAATGACAGAATGATCTCAGTTCTTTTCTAAGACAAGCCATTCAGTATCACAGTAATCCAAATCTGTGCCCCAACAATTGATGCCAAAGAAGTTGAAGTTGACTGGTTGTATGAAGACCTACAACATCTTCTAGAACTAACACCAAAAAAAAAAAAAGGTGTCCTTTTCGTTTTTGGGTATTGGAATGCAAAAGCAGAAAGTCAAGAGATACCTGGAGTATCAGGCAAGTTTGCTCTTGGCATACAAAACCAGTCTGGGGAAGGGCTAACAGTTTTGTCAGGAGAGCATGCTGGTTATAGCAAACACCCTTTTCCAACAACCCAAGAGATGACTTTACACATGGACATCACCAAATGGTCAACACCAAAATCAGATTGATTATATTCTTTCCAACTGAAGATAGAGAAGCTCTCTACAGTCAACAAAAACAAGACCTGGAGCTGACTGTGGCTCAGATTATGAACTCCTTATTGCAAAATTCAGGCTTAAGTTGTAGGGAAAACCACTAAGCAATTCATGGATGATCTAAATCAAATCTCATATGATTATATAGTGGAGGTGATGACTAGATTCAAGGGATTAGATCTCTTAGATCTGGTAGACACAATGCCTGAAGAACTAATGGATGGAGGTTTGTAACACGGTACACTAGGCACTGAACAAAACCATCCAAAGAAAAAGAAATGCAAGAAGGCAAAATGGTTGTCTGAGGAGCCTTTACAAATGGCTAAGGAAAGTAGAGAAGTGAAAGGCAGGGGAGAAAGGGAAACAAAGATATAGCCAACTGAATGCAGAATTCCAGAGAATAGCACAGAGAGATAAGATGGCCTTCTTAAATGAACAGTCCAGAGAAATAGAGGGAAATGATGGAATGGGAAAGACTAGAGATCTCGTCAAGAAAATTGAAAAGATCAAGGAAACATAGGATATAATGGAAGCAGAAGAGACTAAGATGAAGTGGCAGAAATACATAGAAGAACTACACAAAAAAGATCTTAATGACCCAGATAACCATGATGGTGTGGTCACTCACCTAGAGCCATTCATCCTGCAGTGTGAAGTCAAGTGGGCCTTAAAAGGAAGCATTACTACAAACAAAGTTAGTTGACATGATGGAATTCCAGCTGAGCTATTTAAAATCCTGAAAGATGATGGTGTTAAAGTGCTACACAGAATGTCAACAAATTTGGAAAACTCAGCAACGGCCACAGAACTGGTTATCAATCCCAAGGAAGGGCAGTGCCAAAGAATGTTCAAACTACTATACAGTTGCACTCATTTCATAATGTTAGTAAAGTTATGCTCAAAATCCTTCAAGCTAGGCTTCAGAAATATATGAACTGAGGGCTTCCAGATGTATAAGCTGAGTTTAGAAAAGGCAGAGGAACCAGAGATTGAATTGCCAACATTCATTGGATCATAGAAAAAGCAAGGGAATTCCAGAAAAACATCTGCTTCCTTGACTGCACTAAAACCTTTGACTGTGTGGATCACAACAAACTTTGGAAAATTCTTAGAGATAGGAGTACCAGACCATACCTCTCTCCTGAGAAACCTGTATGTGGGTCAAGAAGCAACAGTTAGAACTGGACATAAAATAATTGACTGGTTCAGAATTGGGGAAGGAGTATGAACAAGGCAGTAAATTGTCACCCTGCTTATTTAACCTATAAGCACACAGAATACATCATGTGAGATGCAAGGCTGGATGAATTACAGGCTGGAATCAAGATTGCTGGAAGAAATACCAACAACCTCAGATATGCAGATAATACTACTATAGATATCTGGCTCTCAAGATAGTCTCACCTAGAGCCAGACATACTGGGGTGTGAAGTCAAATGGGCCTTAGGAAACATCACTACAAACAAAGCTAGTGGAGGTGATGAATTCCAGCTGAGCTATTTCAGATCCTAAAAGATGATGCTGTTAAAGTGCTGCACTTTAACAAATATGCTGCCAGCATATTTGGAAATTTGTCAGTGGACATGAATTTGAGCCAACTCTAAGACAGTGGAGAACAGGGGAGCCTGGTGTGCTGTAGCATGGTGTCGCAGAGTGTTGAACATAAGTTAGCAACCTAACAACAAATACATCATAACATAGAATTGGTACCAGAACTTGAAAACTTTGTACCTTTCGAATATTCTGTTACCATGTTAATCATAATCTAATGAGACCCTTCCCATACAGACTGGTATCTTCAGGTTTCAGCATTTTATGGAGAGCAGGGGGAGACTAAGGAAAGAAAGAAAAGCTCACAGCCAGAAAGAAATTCATCTTACAAGACAGTTTGATTCACAGTAGCTTGTACTATCAGGGAATAATATTGAGAAAAGAATGGAAAAGGATTGGTAGTCAGAAAACAAATGCTTTTACCATTATTTAGCTATGCCTTAGGAGAATCTAAGAACCAACAGTTGGTTTCCAATGATATCTGTCAGGAAGGAGCTGTTTCCACCATAGAACCTACCTGTGGTGTCTGCTGCTTTTGCAGGCGAGTGCATTTTGTCTGTAAGTGTACTGGTGGCACCTGTGGGTCATGGCCATGGTGTAGTGAACGTTGACACCCTTGAAGTCCCTTTGGCTAAGATTTCAGTCGCATCATTCATCTGCTTGTATACAGCTTTTCTGATTGGTGAACCCTGTGTTCTGTTTTTTATTTAGAAAATATCAATGCATATCACTGAAGTCCACATTTTCCCTTGCTCTCATAGATGCTGTCAGAGGAAAATTATACATTTTAATGGAAGCCAGATTATCAGCCCTCTATAAGTTGGAGAGTGACTATGAGATCCTTGAAAGGTGAATATACAAATCATTGATGTATCTGTGTGTGTGGGGTGTGTGTGTGTGTGTGTGTGTGTCTTCAACTTTAAAAAGTGAGATACTTTATTGCCCAAGAGCTATATATATTATTCAAGCTTAATCAAATATATTCAAGTCACACGTTCTAGCACTAATGACTTAGGAACAAGGAAATCAGAAAGAAATGGTAATTTGATGTGGCTGCAGCCTCATTTCTTTGATAATTTTATTAATTTTTTTCCCAATTATTTTTATTAGTTGGAGGCTAACTACTTTCCAATATTGTAGTGATTTTTGCCTTACATTAACGTGAATGTTTTATTTTTTTTTCTTTGATTATTTTAATTGTGAGCTTGCTTCTCTTTTTTTCTAGATTTCCTGGTGCCGCTCTCAGAGGCAAGAAATACAGGCCCCTATTTGACTATTTTCTAAAGGTAAGCTTAGAGGCCTCTCCCACAGGCACTCTCCACAACCTCTGTGTTTGATAACCGGAGTGATATTCATGTTGTCTCATTGGTTATATTGTTTATATAAGTGTGCCTGAATTCAAAAAAATTTTGTTTAGGTATTTAAAAAATCAAGTTCTGTTCGTATTGCCTTCTTGTTTTAATAACTAAAATACTATATAAAATTTTAAATAGTTTTCTCAAATTATGTATAAAATCAGTTATGTTTGATAAGATTTATATGTGTCTGTTTTGTATTGCTTATTATCACCCAGGAAAGTAATTGAGGTCAGGTGTTGTTCGGGATTTGTTTTTACAAATTTAAAATAGTGCTCAGAATAAAACTTTGTGTCAAAGTAAGACTTCATTTCAAGGAATTTATGAGGTAAGTTCTTTAAGCTCAGACATTTAGCAACTTAACTTTCATCAGCGTCACAGAACTATTTTATGTGGTTTTTCATTTTCTGTCAACAGAATCCACGGCTGTAGTTGTAAACTCCAGCAACAACAAAAGAATGAAAACAATAGGAATTTCCTGTTGATTCTTTAATCTGTGTATTTATGGTTTTCCTGGGTCTTTGCTGATGCACGGGCTTTTCTCTAGTTGCGGTGAGCTGGCCACTCGCTAGTTTCAGCACATGGGCCTCTTGTTGAGGAGCGCAGGCCCTACGTGTGCAGGCTTCAGTAGTCTCAACTCCTGGCCTCTAGGGCACAGCCTCGGTAGCTGTGGCTTAGCTGCACTGAGGCCTGTGGGATCTTCCTGGACCAGAGATGGAAACCATGTCTCCTGCATTGGCAGATATGAGCCGCCAGGGAAGACCTCTTGTATTGGTTCTTATTTATAGGTGTTGGAGCAAAATAATGAGCCACACCCTCAGATCCGGTTTTACACATTGGAAATTATATTCAGTCGGACGTGGCATTAGCCAGCAAAACCTTACATCACAGCCTGGGATAAAATATTTACTTACCTCTATTCGTGTTCAGTGTAGAGATAGTGAGAGTTTGACTAATGCAGGTGAGCTCTGCAGTTTGGGCTTTGTCCACAACAACACCTGTGCCTATACCTTTGTGCACTTGAGTGTTTTTGCGTTTCTTATCTCCTAACTAAAGGCATTCTTCCTCATTGTGTGTTGTTGCTAATGGATTGCCAAAAGCTTTACCTGGTCTTTCACTAGGCATTCTCCACTTGACAAAAGGCAGTCCTGCTCCCTAACCATATCTCCTAATGTGGATTTAAGCATATCCTTTGCATACATCAAACTTGTCCTTTCTTTTCCTCCCTCCCTGCCTTTGTTTTTATTAAGGTTTCCTCCTGTTTTTAAAAAACCTTCACCTTTCTTTAGTGTCATATCAACTTGACACTCTTCAAGAGTAAACTCAGATGCCCTCTGGGAAAAGCATTTTCTGAAACGTTTCTTTGATTTCTCCCTCTGAAAAATACCATTACTACATTCTTCTCTTCTGTATCTTAGCTTTTTTTTTTATATTTGTTTTTATTTGTCTTAAAACTCTTGCACTATATCAGTGATCTTTCTGAATTATAGACCCTATTGGGAAGACCCTATTGAGAACCTGTGGAAAGTTCAGCCCTTTCAGAAAATGTACATGGACACAATAGATAGGAACTTTGGGTTAAGTCACAAGTCTCTCTGGAATATGTATCCAGTTCATACTGATTTAAGTTTTTTAAGAGTAACTCATATGTGTTCAGTTAGCTTCATAAAATTTCTAGAACATTTGGTGAGTTTTAGAACGATGCTGCAAATTCTTTAAGACAAAAATCACCTGGTGTGTACCAAAAATACCCATGGTCTGAAGTTTTAAGTGGGAGCCGTGAGAATAGATACTATCTGTGAAAGGCAGCTCTATAGCTCTCTGTGTGAATGCTAACCCAGTTCATACCCTGCCCCCTAAGATTCAGCAGGGATAATACCTTAAACTGGGCTTCAAGAAATAGGAACGCAGTGCAGCATTTCTTTATCTACAGTTAGAAACAGTAAGATCCTTTGTATTCCCTGTTCTTACATCTGATTCTGAGGATACACATATTATCTCTACAAGTTTAAACTATTGAAGACGTACCTCTAAGCACCTATCAAACCACACCAAAAATGTTTCCAGGTGATTTGGGTATAGCAATTAAAAATTCAGTTATTTTTCAAGTTCAATTTTAAGTGAATGCCAAAAAATTAAAGAGCTGTGATGTAGTTGAATATAAAATTGTATTTGGAACCCAAAGGCCTTCATCACTGAAGGCCTGGCTTCATCATTACTTAGTTGTATAATCTGGACAAATAATTCCATCTTTGTCCAGTTTGTTCATCTGTGAAATTGAAATGACAACCAGAATATTTTTAAAACATGGGACTGCCAATGCCTTTTTCACAGTACTATAGGATTAAATGTGAAAATCATTTGTGAAAGTACATTTTATAAAGGCAGAGGGATAAGAAAGCACAGGGTCAGCTTTACTGAAACAAAGGGTATGTGAAAAGAAATACTAAGAGACGAAGGTAGAAAAAGTAAGTCTATAGTCTTATATGTATAAACCTGACTTTAGTTGTTAATCAACTAAACTGAAAGCAATTCCCCTCAGTGTTACAGTACTTGGAGTACCTGTATCTAAAACTTGTAAATTGGCTCCTATCCTGATTCTTTCAAAGTTTGCCTTTTATTACTGAAAAACCTGAGCTGACCTGAAAGGAGAAGGAGCAGCAGCAAAGTGTTTTCAATGATTGGAAATGCATGAGGAAGGGAATCGTTGAGGGAGCACATCTTCTGAGTCATTTTAAGATAAACTGCATATTGCGGCAGGGGTGAGGTTGGAAGAACTGATGAAAAAGAAGTTTTGTGACTAAGGAAGAAATTTTTATCTAAAAATTTAGATAACTTTAAATAACTATTTCATTTATAAATGATGAACTCTTATTCATGGAAATGATTTGAATTGGCATGTTTCTTCCCAATCTGAATTATTCTGTCCATTTCCAAAAATTAAATGTTAAAATTTTTACAGGGTCTTACCAAAAACTGTTATTAAATTCATATTAGGATATGGTTTTATTTTATTCTTCAAGCCCGATAACCTTTCTTTTCCAGTGTAAAGAGAGAGGTGCTTTTACTGTGCTTGTTGACAACTACGTGAAAGAGGAAGAAGGCACTGGGGTTGTGCACCAAGCTCCTTACTTCGGTGCTGTGAGTAGTTTAACTCTATTTTTTTTTTCATTTGTTTTTATTAGTTGGAGGCTAATTACTTTACAGTATTGTAGTGGTTTTTGTCATACATTGACATGAATCAGCCATGGATTTACACGTATTCCCCATCCCGATCCCCCCTCCCACCTCCCTCTCCACCCGATCCCTCTGGGTCTTCCCAGTGCACCAGGCCCGAGCACTTGTCTCATGTA